ACAAACAAATAAATAAATCTTTAAAAAAAAAAGAAAAATAAAGGTCATTTTCAAAGCAGCTATAAGCTTGAGCAATTTGAATAATCCAAGTAGAAATTCTAAATAAAAAGACTAGAAAAAATGATAACAATATAATAAATGTAGCATATTAATAATTGATACCCCTGCAGAAGGTGAGAATAAATAAAGTTGAAAAAAAAACCTTTCAAGACATTAAGTTTCCCACACAAAAAACCTTGATATTTTAGAATGGTTTCTAGTTTATAAATATAAAGACTTTATTGTTAGATCAAAATAAAATAAAGATGCTGACCTCAGGCTTTTCCATTCTGTAAAACATGGGGGGAAATGTATAAAGTCAGTAGAATTAAAAAAAAAAAGGTATGGTCCAAGAATTTTATGTCTAGGCAAGCTATAGTTTAATATTTTATGTATTTCCAAATAGACAGTTCCCAAACATCAGTCCTTAGGGGAGGTGAGAAGGGAGAGTACTATATTACAAAATACTGAATTGAGAAATGAAAATTAAGTTAAAAAGATTAGTGATTATGGTCAAACAAATTTATATGAAGAACTAGCATTAGCTTGTTACAATCAATGGCAACATGGAAATAATAAATTGAGGAAAAAATACTGAGCATTGCGGTTGGGTCAATAATTACAAATGGGAAATTTCTCTCTTCATATTAGTCATAATAATGCAAAGTACACTATAATTTTTGTAGTGAGGAATACAGACATGGGACCTCAACTATAAATCTTCCAAGAAAACAGACTATATAATGAAATATGTAATTAAAAGATTGAATTGAAAGCTCAAAGCAGTTCAAAAAAGTAAAATTAAGATGAAGTACATATAAGTAAATAATTATAAATTGAATAAATTCATTTATTAAAAGAAAACACTCAGATTGGAGCAAAAACATCAAACCCAGTAAAAGATGCCTCTGAAAAAGGACCAACAAATAATGTTTTAGTAAATATGTTAGGTTTTACATCTGTAAATCTCTGTTGCAACTACTCAGTTCAACTGTTATAGCACAAAAGCAGCCAGACACAATATATAAATGAATGAGCAGAACAGTGTTCCAATAAAACTATTTGCAAAAAAAAGACAGTGGGCCAAATTTGTCCTATTAAGTCATACATTGCTGACCTATTATCTAAAAACAATTCCTCTCAAGCAGAAAACTTGAGAGCAGAAGGACAGGCAAAGACTTAGCACATTCAAGCCACAAAAATAAGAGTCCAGCTATTTGTGTCAAACAAGGTTGATAACCAATTGCACTTTGTAGTGGTAAAGGGTGGAGTAATACAACTTTAAAATTTATAAAACAAAAATAATGAGAAACAGACAAATCAAATTATAGAGGATTTTGTCCATCCCTTTGAACTGTTGATAAATAATAACATACTGGACATATATAGCATGATATGTGGTATGACAAACCACATGTCCTGGAAGCAATGAAGACTTTTTGAAGAGTATCTGCTAGACACCCCCAACAGATCTGAGTCAGATCAAAAAAGCAGATATGTGCAGATTATGCTTGTTCTTTATTAGCACTAAAACAAAGGAAAGCATCTCTACCCTCTGAAAAAATTAAATAACTCTTGGGTCAAAGGAGAAAATAAAAAATCAAGCCCACATCAACCAGAAGTATTGATAATCAAAAATATGCATATTAACACCTATAGGAAATATTTAAGCAGAACTAAGAGGAAAATTCATAAGATAAGTGAATTACTAAACAAGAAAAGGATGAAAATACAGGAGTCCAGCCCATAAGTTTTTTGAAAAGTAACAAAATGGAAAGAAGGCAGAAATAGGTACTAACAAAGATAAAATCAGAAATTGATAAATGAGAAAACAGGTACTAGCAAGTCCCGGAGATTTTAGATTGATGGTAAAAAATATTAAACAGGTAGCCCTTTATTGAATCATGAACACGAGGAGAAAGCACAAATAACGCATGTAGAATATGAGTGATTCACAGTTATTTAGGGAATTAAATGTAAGAGGGCATACTACTAAATTGTATGCAGATGGATTAGTAAACCTGATCACAAAAAAAGGCACTGCTGGGCTGGGGCAACCTTCTGAGGAACATCATAACTGCAATGCTTTAAAAATTTTAAAGAACAGGAAGTTATTTTTTGAAATGTTATATTGATATCAAATTCTGACAGCACGCACACACACAAATTCATTTTTAAAACATAATAATCCTAAATATTAGAAAGTGTAATTCATCAGCACATTAATTAAAATTCATTTTTGAAACAAAAATCTTAAATATTAAAAAGTGTAATTCATTGGTACATTAAAAGGATAATACATGATGCCCAAATTGCTTTCATGCCAGGAATGTAAAAAGAACTCAGGATCAGGAAATACTAATCATCGTGTTTTAAAAAGTGCAAAGGAGGGAAAAAGGAGCATCTTCCTAGAAACTGAAAGAATTTTCAGTAAATTAGCCATCAATTCTGAGCTTTTTGTTTTTTAAAAAAAGTGGGAATTACTATTAAGGATGGAAAACACATCTTAGGATGAAAGTCAGCCTAATTCCTACCATTGACCTGAAGCTGTTCTTATTTTATTTTATTTTATTTTTTTCTGGGACCCTCGCCGGTGGCCAGGGATGGAACTGGCGCTGCAGAGGCTGCAGGCAGCCTCGCAACCCAGCGCTCAACCGCTGCGCCACCAGGGGAGGCCCAAGCTGTTCTTATTTTTAAAGTTAGCCACAATGGTAGTAGACATTATTAATACTGTTCTAGCAGTTCTAGCTAATTTAAAAAAATTAGATCAATTTTCATAGGTTTTGTGTTTACCTAAAAAGTTACCCTCAGACCCTTCCATGACTGGCTTTGGGCTTGTGTGGTTTATGAAATTTTCTCATACACGTAGATCTATAGACTGCTTTTTTATTCGTAAAGGCAATCAAATTGACTGTATATTACTTTTTTCCCACTTATATCCAGCATGTTTTTTTCTTTTCTTTTTCCCTGAAGTACATGTAATTTTACTTCAGCTAATTCATTGAAAGCTTTATGTGTGCCAGGTGGATAAGCAGGCCAAAGAGTGTAAAGTAAGACAGCATGAACTTGCTGTGAAATATTTCCTATCCTGAACATCCAGAACTTTAGGGCAGCTGAATTAATGTGTTGTTTTGTTTTGTTTTTTTTTTGGTCCCGTTTTCTTCCTTGCATCATAGTGAAGTGAGAAGGGAAAACTCTTGTTTTTGTTTTATTTGATGTGATTATATTAGCAGTGAATGTGATTTTTTAAAATTAGTTATTGAAGTAGCATTGTTTTACATTTTTGCTGGTGTTTTGACAGCATGAATATGATTTTTAACCAAGTTAAAATCTTAGATCTTTTTTCCTTCCTTCGAGAGTAAGTGAAATGTTTCCCCAAGAGAGTACATATTCTCCACCTTTTTTTGTCAGCAGGTAGAATGTAGGAATATTAAAAATTAACATTTGTGAATAATAACTCCCATCTGTCTGGTGTTTGACATGTACTGGGAATGGTACTTAGTGTGTTGCATACTTTGTATCATTTGCTCCTTAGAACAAGCTGATGATAACACAGCTACTATTATTATTCTTGTTTTATAGAGGGGAAAACTGAGATTCAGAGAGGTTAAATGATTTGTTCAAACCAACACTGAAATTGGCAAGTTTCAGACTTGGGCAGACACATCTTTTGGTCCCTCCAGCATTTATCTAGCTTGTCATTCACTGGTGTAAAGAATTTCACATTCCGTTTTCTAAAGGAGAATATTTCCTGAGTTTTTCTGTCACTGGTGTCTAAACTGTTCCATCCACCATCTGGGTGCCTTTTGGAGTGTGAAAGAAGGTGGTTTGATGCCATTAACCTATTATGATCATGACTTCACAGAGCTGATTCGGTTTCCTTGTGGCTACTTGTGTTATAGTATGTAAATGCTACTGCTGGACTTTGTGTGTGGAGAGTGTAGTGAGTATTGTGTGATTTTTTTTTTCCCCCCCTTAATATTTTCTCATCAAAGCTCCAAAGATTCCTTAGTTGTGACTATTGCCCTGTTTGTTGTAATTGAGCACCACGTGGCAGGGAGCCCTGGACTGAATGATGGGAGTGTGGCTGGTGACTAGTCTTTGGGCTAAAGTAATTTATATTTTGTATGGGATAAGTGAGGAGGGGAACCTTAACGGGCAATGTCTTTTAAAAAAAATCAAGAATCTGTTCTTTCTCTGTATTTCACAGTAACATTTATTATAAAGGTGCCAGGTATTTTGCCATCATACCAAAAAATAAAGGATTTCAGAGGGAAACTTTGGTCTCCCTTTCATTCCATTGGCATTGGAAGGGGATTTGGGTTCTGAAAATATGTATAATATAAAAACTGCCAGTCACAAGATAAAAAGTCTGCCACCTTATGACATTCGTTTGGTGGAAGAGCCCTATAGCTTTTTTTTTTTAAAGATTTATTTTTATTTATTTATACAAGCACTGGGTACAGTCAGAAGCACGGGAGGGTAAGAGAATTCACCAGAGGCAGAGAATTCACCAACCAGAGCAGAGCAGGCAGAAGGATGGAAGTACACTGCTGAGGGGAGCTGCGGGCAGCAGGAGAGGTCTGCGTGCCATGTGGGACCCTCCTCCGGTGGCCGGGGAGCAGCTGGGGATCGAACCGGCGCTGCAGAGGCTGCGGGCAGCTTCGCAACCCAGCACTCAACCGCTGCGCCACCGGGGAGGCCCAGAGCCCTATAGCTTTGAGGTATTTACAAAACGTAAGCAGAGTAAAAGCTATTTATATTTAGTTCAATTTGGAGGGGTAAAGTAGCTTAATATTTTCTAATGTCTCTTATTTTCTTGTTTGAACTCAATATTGGGATATTGAATTGCAATGAAGAATCCTTCCCATTCGGAAGGGTGATAGCCTGGTGTTTTAATTCCCAGGTGAGCAACTTTGCTTATTTCTATTTGTTAACTAGGCCTTTTGATATTTTTGTAGACAATCTGCTTCATCTTGATTCTGCAGCATTCCAAACTGGTATCCTTGGGGTTGTCTTAACATTGCTATGGTGCAGAAGATTTAAAATCAGGTATGGCTGTGGGGTTAGAAGCCCCTCAGTGAAATTCTCAACTTAAATCTGCCTTATGTTCTCTGACTTATCATTTGGGTTTCTTTTTTTGTGATGGTCTTTTAGCTGATGTTCACAAGGAATAGAGTCACGTGATGTATGAAGGGAAACATATACACTTCTCTGAGGTTGACAATAAGCCCTTGTGCTCATATAGCCCCAAACTGTGCAAGCAGCGGCGACTCAACGGCTACGCTTTCTGTATCAGACACGTTCTGGAGGACAAGACTGCCCCCTTCAAGCAATGTGAATATGTGGCCAAGTATAACAGCCAACGCTGCACCAACCCCATCCCCAAATCAGAAGATCGTAGGTAAGCGCCAAAACCAGTAATAAATCCTGGATTTAATTAGTGGACTTGGAATTTTTCCCATTTTTGTTTTTTTTTTTGCTTTGATAGAGTGAATTTAAATGTTGAGTTTTGTGGATACTCTACATAAACTTTGAAATGCTTGGAAGGATGAGAGATGGCCATTTAACAAGAATGGAGAAGCAAATTTGGGGAATTATTTGATCTTACAGACTTTCTGGGATTATTGAAAAAGATGTTTCTCAAAGTTGTTGCTTGAAGTCTTAGTACTGATGTGTTTGGTTTTCAGCCTTGCTAAGTAACTCCTGATTTCTCTGGTTAGCTTTGTCTTCTGCCTAAATGAGAGAAATTATAGAAACTATGTAGGTTGTTATTAATGATAATAATTTTGGAATTTTTCAGTCCGTGTTTGAAAAGTCACAAAGTGTATGTACTTATTGAAAAAGAATTTTTCAAAGGAACGTGCACTTGAATCATTCAGATTTACTTTCTAACAGACTTCTAAACTGTGCTTGGGAGTGTTCTATAATCTTGCCTCTTTTTGTTATAAAGGGTTTCATATAGAGTATATTTACCATATTTAGAAACTACTTTCACAGAAGGTTAGACTTTATGACTAGAATTACAAATATATGCTTTGCTGAATTAAAATAAAATTAACAATATGGGGTATTTTTATGCTTGTTATTCATTTTCCATGTTCATAGGAAAATTTATACTCTACCTCAGATACTCTTTGTCTTCAATTCTCCAGAAATCAATGTTGATCATTGTAATAAGATATTATCCAGGGATGCATGCTTGTTTTCCACAAAGTCTCAAATTCTTAGTTTGAAATAGAAAATTGGAACTTCCTACTATCTTAAGAATATATATACAACATTCATCCTTATTCCTATAACTAAGAAAATGCTACCTGCATAAAATTGTTGAAAAATGTATTTTATGTTCAGATGGGCAAATTTTACACCTTTAATATGAAATAGTAATGATTGAGTCTACCAAAATGAATTAGTATAATGTGGTGATTTGGGGATACTCTCTTTGAATTTCTACACTTGATCTTAGCCAAAAGGCCGAGAAGCAATTCTTAGAATTTCTAATGTGCATTTAAGGTTTCAAATTACAATACCTGAAAATTAGAAACAGCTGCTTAGTGAGGCAAAGAATAAAATTTTAATCTCAGGTGAGAAAGAGACCACTTGGTTTTAGCATACTGAAGATGATCACTTCTAACCTCTACTCCTTTTTTTTTTTTTTTAACCCCTACTCCTTTTAATTTGAAGAATGGTTGAGCTTGAATCAGTTGCCAACCTTGAAATATTTTTTTTTTAATTTTAGCTGAAGCAACTATTTCTTAGTAGCTAACAGCAAGACAACAAGAAGTGAAGTGAGAATCACTTCTGATTTTTCTGAACTATTTATTCCGTATCATGTCTTCCAAGTAATTTCCTGTTTTTTTAAAGATTTATTTTTATTTATTTATACATACAAAAACTGGGGTGTGGGCCAGAGACAGATTGGGGAACAGAACAGGCAACTCTACAGAAATATACTGCTGAGGGGAGCAGTGGGCAAGACAGAAGAAGTCTGCTGCGCCATGTGGGTCAGCTTCCTGGCTGGGGATCAAACTCATGCTGCAGTTGCTGACAATAGCTTCATAGTGCTGTGTTGCTGTGTCAAGCTAAGCATAGTTTTTCTTAAAAAAAAAGTTATATGTTTTTTTCCCAAGTTGGTCCAAGACCATATGAACACAGATATTTTTTAGTTTGTAGACTTGTTTGAAAATTGTTTAAAATAGACATCAGTAGATGATAACACTCCAGGTTGAATTAATGTAATAATGTGTCTAAACTTATATATGTGTATTGATCATTATAACTACACTGTAATATAATACAGAAAAGATTAATATCCTTTTGAAAACAAGATTTCAGTATTATTAATATGCTTACTCTTGACACAGATTTGAGATGGTTTTATGTGTTATTTTAGATAACAAATTCTGAAGGACTTTTAATTGACAAAATTATCTGATGGGAGGTCAGCTAGAGGAAGCATTTTAATATTTGATTTCTAATTTACCTGGTATGTTTTAAAAATGTTAAGTTATGGGATTCCTACCTATTTGAAATGTAATAGTGTAATGCACTAATAGAAGTACTGGTGTAAGTAAAAAGTAAAATCTATTTTCTAATGTTCTTGTACAGTTGGGAAGCTAAGGGTCATTAGTGTATATAGCCTTGTTATTTCAGAGATAAGTGGTTATATTCAGTTGGTTTTTACAGTGTTCTAAATATTAGTTTGCTATAATTTTTTTTATATGTACACATATATGTACACACACACGGTGGTATATATGTGCCCAGAAATATTCTTGTCTCCTGTACATTTATTCTTTTTTAAAACAACCTAAGATATATTTAGATAACATAAATTCACCCATTTAAAGTGTGCAAATCAGTATTTTTTAGAATATTCAGAGTTGTGCCACTGTTAACAGCAGTCTAGTTTCACAGCATTTTCATCCCTCCAAAGAACCCATTCACAATCACCTATTTATTATTTTACACTAAAAATTCATATTTGTATACTTATTTTGAATGCTATGCTAAGGAAGCTATTGTACATCTAGTTATGCAGAATGCTCTCACAGGAGGCAAGGTTTTTTAGATTTCAGACTGTATGTTGTAAGACTGCTGATGACTGATGTGAGAGTTAAGGATAGGCGAAAGAAGGGCTGTGTATGCAGATTTGCTTTTGCTGGATTGCAAGGTGTTGGCTTGGCTTTGTGCTCTTTTTTTTTTTTTTTAAGATTTATTTTTATTTATGTATACAAAAACTGGGATGTAGGCCAGATGTGCCAGAGTGGGGCTGTGTACTTGTAAGAGGATTCACCAGAAACAGAGTGGGGAACAGAACAGGCAGATCTACTGAAATACACTGCTGAGGGGAGCAGCAGGTAAGACAGGAGAGGTCTACTGTGCCATGTGGGTTAATTCCCCGGCCAGGGATCGAACACATGATGCATTGCCTGGCAATAGCTTAATAGCGCTGAGATTTTAACCCCTGTGTCACCAAGGAGGCCCCCTTAATGCTCTATTTTTAAGGTATCTGGGGAACCTAGTACTAATTATCTAGGCAGCACATACACATACCATGTAGATCTCTTTTGTCCAGAAAAGATTTTCTTATTTGTCCTATTTAAAATTAAAGAGTATCTCTGATCAATATATTTCTTTCTTTTTCTCTATTGTGGTAACATTGGTCGACAACATTGTTTGTGATTTAAAGGTGTAGGAACTCCCCCTTTAGGTGTTAAGTTTTGGAAATGTTGGGTCTCCCCCAGTGGCATAGTGGGTTGAGTGCAGTACTGTGAAGCTGTCCGCGGCCTCTGAGGGAGGCCGTAAACAGCACAGATTGCTGTTCGATTCCAGGCCAGCCAGGGAGATTCCCACATGGTGCGCAGACCTCTCCTGTCTCGCCCGCTGCTCCTCTCAGCAGTGTACTTCGATCCTCCTGCCTGTTCTGCTCCCTGCTCTGTCTCTGGTGAATTCTCTCACTCTCCCATGCCTCTGGCCTGTACCCCAGTGCTTGTATAAATAAATAAATCTTTAAAAAAAAAAGTTTTGGAAATGTTGCCAGGTGTGCACATGTCCCCCACTGGAGCTCCGTAATGTACATTAGTATACAACATGCTTCGAGAAGTGATTCTGCAGAAACAAACAACAAAATTATTGTCCAATTCTTTGTAAGCCCACATTTTTCATATTTAGTTACACACAGACTACTGTTTTTACTGCATACTTGTTAATATCTGTGGAACTGAATGAAGTATATTAGTTTGGAAAATACTACTTTTCTACTAGTTAAATGTGTCCTGGGTATTTATTTATTTATTTATTTTAAAGATTTATTCATTTGTGCATACAAGAGCTGGGGCACAGGTCAGAGATGCTGGGGGTGAGAGGATCCACCAGAGACAAAAGTGGGGAACAGAACAGGCAGATTGACCAAAATACACTTCCGAGGAGAGCAGCAGACAAGACAGGAGAGGACTGCCTCGCCATGTGGGTTTCTCCCTGGCAGGCCGGGGATTGAACTTGTGCTGCTGGGGCTGCGGATTGCTTTGTAGTGCTGTGCTTAACCCCTTGTGTCACCAGGGAGGCCTAGGACATGGGTTTTTAGTGTGCTTTGTAGGAAAGACAGGCGTTCTACTTTCTCATTATGTAATAGGATTCTATCCTTTCATAGTGTTTTTAAAATAGCATTTACTTTACAAAAATAACCTCAATATTGCAGACTGATCAGTGTCTTTGTGAGTTTTGATTTTTAATTCAACGCTCAATTATTGTCACTTTCCAGCTGAATTGGACAAGTTATTTGCCCAAAATTCCTGTAAAGCTTAGTTTTCTCATATGTATAAAGGGAATTATTTCAGTACCTACTACAGTTAGGTATAGAGATGTTCTATGTAGTTATAGGTGGCTATTGAGGCTCATTTCATCTGTATTCGCACTTACTAGTTTTATTGGTTTACTTCCTCCTTCCCTTCTTTCTCTCTCTCTCTCTCTCTCTCCCCCCCTTACACACACACACACACACACACACTGTAGACATGTGACTTTTTTTTTTAAGGGATACAGTCTTTTTTTTTTTAAAGATTTATTTATTTATTTATACATATACTGGGTATAGTCAGAAGCGCGGGAGGGTGAGAGAATTCACCAGAGCCAGAGCGGGGAGCAGAGCAGGCAGAAGGACCGAAGTACACTGCTGAGGGGAGCAGCGGGCGGCAGGAGAGGTCTGCGCGCCATGTGGGACCCTCCTCCTGTGGCCGTGGAGCAGCCGGGGATCAAACCAGCGCTGCAGAGGCTGCAGGCAGCTTCACAACCCAGCGCTCAACCGCTGCGCCACCTGGGAGGCCCAACACGTGACATTTTTAAGGGTTATGTCATATGATCTTTGTGAGTCTCCAAATGCATGAACGGCATTCGGACATATATTTTTTTTCTGCATAAGAGAAATTGAAGTGATCTTTCATCTTTTTGCTCTTTGTTCAGTTACCATGTATGCTGTGAATAGAGAGTAGCAAAGCCGTGTGAGATGCAGTAGCTGTGTTCTTGTCCAAGGCCACTCTCAAGCTGAATGGCTAGGTTTTGTCTGGCAGCCTCTACATGTACATTTACTTACTCGCTTCAGCAAAAGTACCACAGTCTTTAAGAACTCCTTGAGGTAGCAGAAGTTGCATATATTAAACCCATGGATGTCAAGAATGACTACATGCATTGAACATATTAGGGTTCCTGTTTTAGAATATGTAGCTCTGTATTGTTTTTCATAATATGTATAATGAACATTTTCCCATGTGTGTGTCTATTTTTAAAGGTACTGCAACAGCCACCTGCAGGTACTTGGCTTTATCCCGAAAAAAGAGAGGAAGAAAAAGAATGATCCTATAGATGAGGTAAAGGTCAGGCATCAGATGGATACCATGGCCTTTAGCCTGACGGTGCCCACACTGGCCTTGAAGATGCCCAATGGACTGGATGGAATGTCCCTCTCTCCACCTGGGGCAAGGGTCCCTCTCCACTACCTGGAAACTGAGTTGGAAGATCCATTTGCTTTCAACGAGGAAGACGATGACCTGAAGAAAGGGGCCACCGTGAGGAAGAAGCTGCAGAGCAAGCTGGCCCAGAATCGGCAGCGCCAGAGAGAGACAGAGATTTTAAAAGTTCGACAAGAGCACTTTAGTCCCCCTCCTGCACCTTCACAGCAACAGCCTCCGCAGCCACACTCCCACCTGTCACCTTTATCCACTTCTTTAAAACCTCCAGCGCCACCGCAGGGTTTAGTCTGCAAGTCACCTCAACCTCAGAACACCAGCCTACCAATGCAGGGAGTGGCCTCCACCACACACACTATAGCACAAGCCAGGCAGGCGTCTCACAGGAGGCCTCTGCCCCTCCTGCCATCCAGTCGGGCACCCGTTGCGGGCCCGCCCAGGACTGACCGGGTCCTTATGAAAGCCACAGCCTTCTCGCCACACTTCTCTTGTATAAGTCGACTGCAGAGACTGGTGAAACTGTGCACCCAAAAGCATCAGTTGGACACTGATCTGTTTCCCCATTTAGGTGAGTTATCCATTCTGCCATATCATGTGTATGTGATTAACAGACCCTGCTGCTTAGTGGGAGGCTTCATTTTCATAACTATCGCACATGTGATAGGGAAGTGCCTCATACAGTGGTCCAGTTAGAGATCTGGACTGAGGCAGAGGCCTTGAAGTAAATATACTGCCGGGGTACTATCACTTTGTGAGCAGATACAGAAATAGCAGTTGGGAATTTAGCATTTCTAGTCCTCGTTTCTATTGGGAGTGTTAATGGCTACATTAACAGCAGTTGTGTTTGTATGCTGTGTGTCTAATAAAGTTCTTTACATGTCTTATCATAGGACTTTGGAATAATGATAGTGGTGTTAATATATGCCAACAGTTTTTTTTTAAACTTTTTTTTTTTTTTTAGTTCCCAAAGCAATATAAGCAATACCTGTTCACAATATCTGTGGAAAAATACAGATAGAAATGTAATGTAGTCAAATGTCTGTCTTTCCTTTGTTAATTCTAAGTCATCTGTTTTGCTCAAGAAAGTCTCCCTGATCCCAAGTTTATACAAGTATTTTCTATTTTCTTTACTAGTATGATTGTTTTTCATCATTTAAACCTTTAATTCTTTTGGAATTTATTCTTGAATTTGGTGTAAGCTATGGTTTTAATTTCAAGAAAAAGTGTTTGCATGACATATAACCCCAGTAGCAAAATGGGCAAAGGTTGGGGATACTTCAGTCACCACAGCAGGTGTGGAAGTGCAAATAAAATAACAGTGACTTACCACCGATCGGCAAAAGCTATATCAGAGTTGATGAGGATATGGGATCTCATACATTGCTGGTGAGTAATATGGCAGTAGTTGCTAATTAATAGTATATGTATAACTAGCAAACTCACTATCCTATGGATAAAAACATACCAGAATATAAGGATGTATGTTCAAGGATGTTTATTGCAACATCACTTAAGATTTTAAAAATCTGCAAACAACCTGAACAACCAATAGGAGACCTTGAGTAAATTATGGCACATACATTTTATGTATGAGGCAGCTATTAAGAAGAATGAATGAAATCAGGTTATCTTTCTACCTGGATGTGCCCATGATATAGCAAGTAGAAAAAGTGCAGTTATTGTATTGTCCCATTTTTGTAAATACTAGCAAAGTTAATGAGCAAGGGACATTATTATATCTTTGATCAAGAGTATGGCTAGACATTTGCCTATTTCACATAGGAAAAGTATGAATGCATATATACTACCAGGCTGAGGAATTAGATAGTGTGTGATTTTATGGAGATGGGATTAATAACTCCTCATCTGTATCTTTATATTGTTCCATCTGTTACTAAATGTTATTAAACCAGGCATGACCTTTGGTATTTAAAAATAATAAAACTTAAAAAATAGAAACAAAAATAATAAATTAGAACATCCCAATTCCTATTAATATCCATTTGTTAATCCTTGATATATCTTTAGATATATAAAATTGAATTCCTGCGATAGGTACTGTTTTATAACCCTTTTTTTTAAGGTTTTCACAATATATTATCCAATTCATAATTTTCATACCCAGTATAGTTTGTCATAGCTGAATTCTCTCTCTAAATTATTTCCAGTTTATATCATGAATTATTAGATATATAGAGCTTTTCTAAAAATGACCCACACATTGTTAATTTTTCTTTTAAATATATTCTTAGAAATAGAATTGTTGGGCCTCCCTGTGGCACAAGCGGTTAAGTCTCAGCACTCTGAAGCTATCTACAGGCACTGTGGCATGAGTTCTATCCCTGGCCAGGGAGCTACCCACATGGAGCAGCAGACCTCTCCTGTCTTGCCCACTGCTCCCCCAGCAGTTATTACAGTCAGTTTCCTGTTTTGCTTCCCTGCTCAGTCTCTGATGAGTCCTTTTACCACCCCCACCACCCCCTGGCACTCTGGCCTGTACCCCTGCTCTTGTACGCATAAATAAATAAAATAAATCTTAAAAAAAGTAGAATTGCCAATTCTACTTCTAAGAATTTTAATTACAATAAAAATGTAAAAGCCTTTACATTTTTTAAAAAAATTTTTTAAAAGATTTATTTATTTATGCATATAGGAACTGGGGTCCAGGCCAGAGGTGTGGGGGTTGTGAGAGGATTCACCAAAGTGGGGAGCAGCACAGGTAGATCTACTGAAATACACTGTTGAGGGGAGGAACAGGTGAGACAGGAGAGGTCTGCTGCACCAAGTGGATTAGCTCTGTCGGGGGCTCGAACTCATGCCGCACTGGCTAGTGCTAGCTTGATAGTGCTGAGACTTTAAACCCTATGCCTCCTGGGAAGGCCCTATGTTGTCTTTTTTTTTTTAAGGATTTCTTTATTTATGCATATAAGAACTGGGGTACAGGCCAGAGGTGTGGGGGGTGAAAGGATTCACCAGAGACAGAGTGGGAAGAGAACAGGCAGATTGATGGAAGTACACTGCTGAGGAGAGCAGCGGGTGAGTCAGGAGAGGTCTGCTGCGCCATGTGTCGGCTCCCTGTGGCTGCTGGATAGCCTCATAGGTTGTGTCTTAACTGTGTGGGCCACCAGGGAGGCCTATTTTGTGTTTTTTAATAGCTGAAGAGCATTCCATTGGATAAGTGCGAGGAATTTTTTTCAAATAATTTTGGGTATTTTTCTTTGTACATCAAAACCCGTCAAGGGGTAAGTAGTTTTTTAGAGTCTAGTTGTAATGTAAACATTTATAACTTTATGAAGGAACTTTGCATGCAACTATAAGGGACTTTGCATGCAGCTACATTAAAGTTCATTGGGCTGTCTTTTATTGTGAATGGATTTTTCACCTGTGTATGCTGTTGTAACATCATGAGTTGGTCGTTTAGAAAAATACTGGCTTACTGAGATACACAGATTTTCCAAATGTTGATATACTTAATGTTGCAAAATTAAAAAATCTCATACTTTAATATTACCACCAATCTCAGAAAAGCCTATCAACTATTAGTAAGTTGTCATGCTCTCAATGATTGAATCAAGTTCTCCAAAAATCAAAAATTCAGACTTTTAAGTCAAAATACGAATTTTATCATTGGCAACCAATACCGTCCATTGTTTTCCTTGAAAAGTGATAATTACACTATAGGAGAAAATGACTGCCAAATATCCAAGTCTTAATAACCATAGTTGTTTCAGTCATTCTTCAGATAAAAATGGTGCTGAATGAAAAAAGCCATTCAAGTCACAGTGAACACAGTCACACAAGTGCTCTTTGTCAATACAACTATCATAGCTTCTTCATATGCAGCAGAGGTCTTAATGTATACTTCAGGCATCATAAAGACTAATATTCAAGAGTAGAGATTTAATAAAATAAACCATCTTTAATAAATAAGGGCTATCTCAAGGATATTTTTACACTAAGGTGCCAACAGTGTTAACCACCATGGTTTGTATACCATCAGTACAAATGTCAGCACAGTGAAAAAGGTAAATCATGTCTTGGTATTTTTTTTTTTTAAGATTTATTTAGTTATGCATACAAGAACTGGGGTACAGGCGAGAGGTGTTGGGGGTGAGAGGATTCACCAGAAACAGAGTGGGGAACAAAACAAGCAGACAGACGGAAGTACACTGCTGAGGGGAGCAGCGGGCGAGGCAGGAGAGGTCTGCTGCGCCATGTGGGTTGCTCCCTGGCCAGCCGGGGGATCGAACTCGTGCTGCAGTGGCTGCAGACAGCTTTATAGGTTGTGTCCCAACCCCTTGCACCACCAGGGACGCCCCGTCTTGGTATTATTTTGAAGGTAATGTTGACTTAAGGAATTCCCTAAAGAGGGCCTCAGTTATCCCTGGGAATCTGTGGACCATACTTTGAGTGAGAATTGCTATTTTGAATTAATAATGGAGCTTTAAATATTTGTCCATATGCTTTTGGAGCAGTTTTATTCCTCATTATTTATTTTTTACTTTTTTTTTTTTTTTATTAAAGATTTATTTATTTATTTATTTATGCAAGTACTGGGTACAGTCAGAAGCGCAGGAGGGTGAGAGAATTCACCAGAGCCAGAGTGGGGTGCAGAACAGGCAGAAGGACTGAAGTACACTGCTGAGGGGAGCAGCGGGCGCGGCAGGAGAGGTCTACGCGCCATGTGGGACCCTCGCTGGTGGCCAGGATTGAACCGGCGCTGCAGAAGCTGCGGGCAGCTTCACAGCCCAGCGCTCAACCGCTGCACCACCAGGGGAGGCCCTATCCCTCATTATTTTGCCTTTTAAGTTTTTCTTTCATTTATATTGATGTTTTTATCTTCTATTGATTGGTAAGAGCTTTTTATACATATTTTGTGTTTGTTGCCAAGTCTCTCCTCCCATTTGTTATTTGCTTTTGAATATCTAATGATTTTGGAATTTTGAAATTAAATTTTTTATGTATTCTCTTTTTTTTTTAAAGATTTATTTATTTATGCATACAAGAACTGGGGTCTAGGCCAGAGGTGTGGGGGGTGAGAGGATTCACCTGAGACAGAGTGGGGAGCAGAACAAGCAGATTGACTGAAATACACTGCTGAGGAGAGAAGGGTGAGTCAGGAGAGGTCTGCTGTGCCATGTGGGTAGCTCCCTGGCCTGGATCGAACTCATGCTGCAGTGGCTATGGATAGCTTCATAGGTTGTGTCTTAACCCCTTGCACTACCAGGGAGGCCCTATATTCTCTCTCTTTTTTTTTTTTTTTAGGTTTCTATCTCTTGAGTCAGACTTTCCTCACCCTTGCCCCCCCACTTCATTCTTGGTGTATATAAACATGTATGCCTACATTTTTTCTTTTTTTTTCTTTTTATTTGTGTGGAAGAACTGGGGTGTAGGCCAGAGGTGCAAGGGGTGAAAGGATTCACTAGAGACAGAGTGGGGAGCAGAACAGGCAGATTTAGTGAAATACACTGCTTGAGGGGAGCAGCAGGAAACAGAGGAAAGGTCTGCTGCATCATGTGGGTTAGCTCCCTGGCCAGGGATCGAACTCAGGCCACAGCATGATTGCGCTGAGACTTAACTCCTAGACCACCAGGGAGGCCCTAGATTTTCTTTTTAGTTCTTCTGTTACTTATATTTTAGTCATCTGTTATGAGAGTCATGAGAGTTTAACTTTTGAGACAGATGTAACATTTCTGAAAAAGTATTAGTCCACCATTTACCTATATCATCTACTAAATTTTTTTAAAAGATTTATTTATTTATGCATACAAGAGCTAGGGTCAGGCTAGAGGTGTGGGGGGTGAGTGGATTCATCAGAGACAGAGTGGGGAACAGAACAGGCAGATCTACTGAAATACACTGCTGAGGGGAGCAGTGGGCGAGAAGGGAGAGGTCTGCTGCACCATGTGGGTTGCTCCCTGGCCGGCTGGGCATGGAATTCATGCTGCAGAGGCTGCAGATTGCTTCACAGTGTGGTGCTTAACCCCTTGTGCCACCAGGGATGCCCTCATCTACTAAATTTTCACTTAAATTTTTATTTCTGAATACTGGCAACTTTAACTTTTTTTTTTTTTTTTTTTTTTTTTTTTTTAATAGAGGCATGATTTATTTATTTGTTTGCTGGTTTGTTTGTTCGTTTTGTTTATACATGCACTGGGTACAGTCAGAAGCGCGGGAGGGTGAGAGAATTCACCAGAGCCAGAGCGGGGAGCAGAGCAGGCAGAAGGACCGAAGTACACTGCTGAGGGGAGCAGCGGGCGGCAGGAGAGGTCTGCGCGCCATGTGGGACCCTCCTCCGGTGGCCGGGGAGCAGCCAGGGATCGAACCGGTGCTGCAGAGGCCGCGGGCAGCTTCGCAACCCAGCGCTCAACCACTGCGCCACCGGGGAGGCCCCAACTTTAACTTTTTTAACTGAAATTTTGTGTTGCATTGAGGGCTGACTTTTAGTCATTTTGAACAGAATGAAAACTTAAAGAAAGAGTATTATCTTTTCATTTTATTTAAATTCAAATGTATTGGAATGCACATTTCCAAAGAAAAGATTATTTTGGAGAAACTAGTAACTGCAACACAACCTGCATTATGACCAAGCACAACCTGCATTCATTTCAGCAAGTACTTAGAGAAAAATGCAGTCTTGTAATTAGCTTTTACAGTCCTGTCTGGGCTGGTTATCTCAGTTAGTTACATTAAAACTAACGATAATGAAGCTAAGATCAAAGGTTTACTTTATTGGACAGTTAATTTCACAACTGGAGAAATATTTCCACTTTAGTTCTTATGACTTAGAGTTCACATTTTCAGAGAAAGTCTAGGTGTCCTGGCAGTGATAAAAGATAACTCATTTTATAATTTTTAATTTTGTAATTTTTAAAGATGCCTTAGTTGTGACTATATTTGAAAGGCCTCATCCTTCAATATACTGAAGCTGACATTGTTGTGATTGCTTAATGTGTGGGTTTTTTGCTTATTTGAGAACAGAAAAGGTGGATTTATTAAAATACAGGAAGAGAAGCCCCGGGCAAGAGATCTGCTGCCGACTGCTTGTTTTTCTATAGATTTTTTTCCAAAAAAATTAGTAATTTTAGTGTAGAAAAAGAAACTTACTTCTTGAGGTGACCTGACATTTTAGAGAGTAACCTTTTTAACTAGATTTGAGGTTTGTTGATGCCAGTGACAGTGTTATTTAATTTTAAGCATTTATAATTTGCATTTCTATTAACCTTTTCTTAATTTCCCTATTTGGCACAGACAAACTCGTTTGAATTATGGGAGAAATATGTGAGGTCATTTTTAGCATAACTGTCTAATGAAGGTAGTCTTGATTTTTGAGGGTCTGATTTTTGAGGAAGACAGAATGTTAGTTATGGAGATAGAAAGTCAAAGTTGTACAGTAAATGAGTGTATTCGAGTTACATAGCCACTCTGTTAAGTTTTAGACTGTGCAATGTCAGTCAGACCTATTCAAGATATAAAACTTTTAAGAAGGTAAAATGTTTATTTTGGGAGGCAACAATTTTCTAGTCATTAAAAATTTTAAAATAAGTAAGCATTGTTCATAGTATATGTCTCTATTTTTCCTCTAAACTTGGTTTTCAAAGTGAAGCACATTAAACAGTATGGCAGCTATTGTTTAAATGAATGAAAAGAAACCCAAGCCACATAGAAATAGAACCACCTTCCTGTTTCTCTTCCTCTGGGAGCAAGAGTCAGAGGGTACCCTGCTAGTGGACAGAGTCCTGTCTTCTGGAAGTATCTGAGCACATCTGCCTTTGACCATTTACCCCAGAGCCCTTGGTTGAAGTGTAGAGTGACTCCCTCAGCATGTTTTGGTTTTTGTTTTTGCCTGAACACATGTTCAGCTTCTTCCCCCATCATCTTGAATATGTTTTATATCTGTCTGACATTATTGTAGTGTATGATGTTTTGCTATTTGTAAGAAATTACACCTTTTTTTCCCCCTAACCTGAACTCTCTCTTTACCTGTGTCACTGTGACTCCATTAGTGAACAACTAATGAAAGAAGTTCATCCTTGGAACATAACCCTTTTGTGATAATGTCATTTTTTAAACCTGAGTGTATATCATATGTTCATTATTAATATCTGTAAGAACATGGAGAGACTCATCAGCATTTCGTTACACTATGATAGTATTTGCCTTATTTGTGCTGTGTATTTTGTACCTTTTAATCTAAATTTAAATAAGAGCAAATTTCCCTGACTTGCAACATCCTCCCATCTGCCCCAGGGCTGGACTGGTCTGAAGAGAGTGGGGAGGAGCCGGAGGACTCAGAGCAGGCCTCTCCATACCAGGTTGCATGGTCCATCCGAGAAGCCCTCAGATACGAAAGACACATGTGAGTCTCTTTTTGCTTTACTCTTAAATTGCTATTGTGGTAGGTTGATTTTTCTCTGTATATACTATTTTTTTTTTAAGCTGGATCTAGTTTTATTGTAATAGTAGTAACCTAGGTACCTGGGAGAAAAATATTCCATTATTTGAAGAAAGCTACTCTTAACTGTTTTTGGTGAATCTATTTCTGTGCCTGTTTCACTTATCATTGAAGGAACCAATTAAGTTGAATTTAGAATTGATGCATCCATTTACACTGTGGTCCCTGCCTACCAGATCTCTATAGTACTGGAAAATACTACACTTTTTTTTTTCTCTCTGAAGTTCCATTTTATATGTCATTCAAGACTTATCATCGGTATATTCTTTCAGATAGACATATAAATGAGCTTAAGCTTTCTTAGGTACATATACGATCAAGCATGTTTTCTGAGTGTAATAACATCAACTTAACTTGGGATATTTCAGGTTAATTTTTCAAATACTCAGCACAGTGCCTGGTACCTGAGAAATGATTAAAAAGTGGTAGTTATGATTTCTATTTTAATTTTCAGGGTGACCTAAACATCAGTATTGGGAGTACTGCTATTTGCTATTGATGAGGAACAATGTATATTCCATTTCTGCTTCTGTTCTCACAGTTTCTTGAACATACGGAACATAGTTATAGTAACTGGTTGTTGATGTCTGGTTTACTAATTTTATCATCTGTATTGTTTGGGGTTCTCTTTCTGTTGATTGATTTTTCTCTTTATGGGTTCTATTTTCCTGTTTCTTTGAATGCCTGATTACTTTTAATGTCGGACATTTTTATTTATTTGATTTTTGGTTATTTTTGTCTTAAATATTTTAAGATAAATATTAAAATAGCTAAGTAATTATAATACTTAATATTTAAATATTATTGAGTTTTGTTTGGAGATGTAATTATGTTATTTAGAAACGACTTTCAAGTCTTGCTTTTTAAGCTTTGCTAAATGGGACCACAACATACTTGGGTTAGCACTAATTTTATCCCAGTCTTGAGGCAATACACTTCTCCAGAGCCCTGAGTATTACAGGTTTTTCCACTCTGGATGGTGAGAACACAAACTAGCCCTGGCCCTGGGTGAGCTCCAAGGATGTGTTTGTCCTATCCTTTTCATGTAGTTTTTCTGGGTATTCTCACCCCACATAAGGATCGATTCTCAGGTAAAGACTCAGAGGATCCTTCTGCAGATCTTTAAAATTCTCTCTGAGCTCCTCTCCTCAGTATTCTGTCCTGCTTAATTCTGGCACTTCTTGGTTAATTAGATATGGAAGGACACACAAAATAAATGCCTTGTATCTGAAATTTAATTAAAAGATGTGGGCTAGAAAACAGATTTGTGTCTTTATTATGTCAGTCAATGTTAAAGTTTTGGAAATGAATAAGAATTCCCAGAAATGGAGTGAGGACTAAGACAAGAGGAAAGAAGAAAAATGAAGACTTGCTGTAGTACTTCAGGGAACAATTCACAGTAAATATACCTGAGAATCTGAAATTTTAAAAGCTTCTAGATTTTTCTAATTTGTGCTTAGATATTTGAATCATTGTTCTCTTTACCACAGTGTTAGTTACTGATTCTGTCCTTTTGAATTGTTTAAATTTCAGGATATGTATGTCTTGTCTGAATTGCATTGCAAATTCCAGGAAATGTTTGTTTCTCTTCGGCAGTACTCAGCAAAATTGACATTCAGTAAATTTTGAATGTTGAATAAACAAAAAGACTGAAGTAAAGATCCTTCTGTTGGTATATCTGTAATAGACTATATACTGAAGAAAACACATTACTTAGGACAGATAATAAACAGAAGTTTACAGAATCACCTGTGAAGGGCTATTGTGATGGGGGAAAAAAAGTAATATCATTTAAGAAGAGAAAGAGAAACCAAGCAATGATGTACAGAAGATTAGCAAGATAATATGGTCTGTGGTATCACACTTATGTTATTTATTTGTGTTATGATGGAAGAGAAAGAAGGTAAAATGACACAGGTCAGTTTTCAAGTCTATTATGCATTATTCCTAACAGAAAGGTGAGATCACACTTGCTTGATACAAAAGTGACCTCTCTAACCTCCCGAGATACAGATTCCAAACATCTAACAGAGCCATGTCAGTTAATATTAGCATAATGACAAGAGCCTCAGTATAATCCCTGGTATATGAAATTCTGTTTAGTGTCTATATAGATAAAGTACCATGGCATGATTGTGATCCCTACCACCAAAACTCCTTAAGAACTTAGCAAGAAAAGGCTGTATTTTTTTTACATTTTTTATTCTATATATATTCTATACATATTTCTCATCATTCTTCCTTTTTGTACAGTGTATGTTTTCTCCTGTCAGATGTAGTCCCTGTAAAATTCCTACCACCAGTTCACCCATGGACCATCACCATAGTCCCTTGTGCTCAGAAAAAGCTGGTTTGAAACAACTAGTACATCTAATAGGCAACTCTTTGATAATGCACTGTTAGTATTCACTGCTCTACTTCTGGTCTGACCTAGCTTATAAAAATTGTGATCAGTATTTCCTCATAACTGCCATGTCATTTACTCAGATATTTTAGTAAGTAAAGAAATTATTTTCTTCCCAAGAACCCCTGATCACTTAAAATCTAGAAGACATGGCTGTATTGTATCTAATTGTGACATGCCCAGAGGTTAAACTTCTTAAAGCTGTTGAAATTTCTGTGCTGCATTATTGTTGAAACAGTGTGTTTATTTTCAGCTCTACTGGAATTTTCTTCCTTTCATTTTGTTAATTATACACTCACATGCCACAAGTTCTAACCCTGTGCATCCAGCCACCTTGAGCCTGTCTGTAATCAGTCTTATTTCTCTCCCTGTTTTTCCAGGTCAGACGATGATGATACAGAGAGTAGGAGCTCCAGGGTGACCCAACTTTGCACTTACTTTCAGCAGAAATATAAACACCTCTGCCGCCTGGAGCGGGCAGAGTCCCGCCAGAAGAAGTGCCGGCATGCGTTTAGGAAGGCTCTGCTGCAGGCGGCCAGCAGGGAGCCAGAATGTGCTGGTCAGTTGATACAGGAGCTGCAGAGAGCTGCATGCAGTCGAACCAGGTAGAGTCCCAAGTTCCTGTTTCTCAGGAACTTGTCTCAGTCTGTTTTCTGTAGTTTTTTTTTTTTTTTTTTTTTTTTTAAGATTTTATTTTATTTATACAAGAGCTGGGGTACAGGCCAGAGGTGCAGGAGGGTGAGAGGATTCACCAGAGACAGACTGGGGAGCGAAACAGGCAGACAGACCAAAAGCACTGCAGAAGGGAGCAGCGGGCGAGACAGGAGAGGTCTGCCGCGCCATGTGGGTATCTCCCTGGCCGACTGGGATCGAACCCGCGCTGCAGAGGCTGCAGACAGCGTCACAGCTCTGCGCTCAACCTGCTGTGCCAGCAAGGAAGGCACTGTTTTATGTAGTTTTTAAGAGGCTGGTTGAGACACAACGGGTTAAGGACATGTAAGCCTGAAATATTTAAGCATTATATTTTGTTTTTGTAGCTCGGATAGAGTTCTACAAAGGTGGCAAAATAATGCCACCATGAACTGACAGTAAAGTTGAAACACTACTATAGTTTTGCTGGAGTTTGATTAAAATTTATTGAAATAAGATTTGAGAATGTTACCTGACTTTGTTTCTTTTTTTGAAGATTTATTTATGCACACAAGAAATGGGGTACAGGCCAGGGGTTGGGGGGGGGAGAGGATTCACCAGAGACAGAGTAGGGAACAGAACAGGCAGATTGACTGAAATACACTGCTGAGGGGAGCAGCGGGCGAGACAGGAGAGGTCTGCTGCGCCATGTGGGTCACCTCCCTGTCTGGGGATCGAACTCAGTAGCTGCAAATAGCTTCATAGTGCTGGTATCAGCTTAATCCCTTGCGCCACCAGGGAGGACCCTGTTATCGGACTTTAAAATAAATACAGTGCTTAGAAATTTTCGTGTTATGTAAGTATTTTAAAATAGTTTTTTAACTACAGAAGTGGTATTTTATATTTTTTACTTATATTTAAAATTTTTCTTTCCAATGTATTTTCTTTTAATAGTTACATTATTCCACATATTTTGTATTCAGAATATTGTGTTGAATTTCTTTTGGGGGAAAAATCCCTTTATAATGCAAATACTAGCTAATTGGACAAAATTTTGAAAAATAAAGCCAAAAGAAGGTGAATAGCTCCATAATATCACTGTTCACAAAACAGAATAAGCACTGTGAACGTTTGGGTTCTAGTCTCTTTGTGAATGTGTATATGCACATGCACCTCCATGTAGTGTGTGTCTGTGTATGGATGAAATCCCCGGTGAATTATGTGTTCGTATTGAAAAGCACAATTGAAGGCCTCCCTGGTGGCACAGTGGGGTTAAGCGTCAGCACTATGAAGCAATCTGCAGCTACTGCAGCATGAGTTCGATCCCCAGCCAGAGAGGTGACCTACATGGCACAGCAGACCTCTCCTGTCTAGCCCGCTGCTCCCATCAGCAGTGTATTTCTGTAGATCTGCCTATTCTGTTCCCTACTCAGTTGCTGGTGAATCCTCTCCCCCTCCCCCCACATCTCTGGCCTACTCCCCAGCTCTGGTATGCATAAATAAATCTTAAAAAAAAAACAAAAAAACAATGGTTGCTTTTGAAATCCAGGATAAAGAAAATGAGGGATTGTGTTGCATACTGGACCTGGTAGATGACTGAACAAAATGTGAAATTTTTCCATAAAAGTTATCCATTTAATATAGAGAGTTCTGGTCTCTCTATTAATCAAGAGAATTTGGGCTTAACTGCCAGCATCGTAAAGCTTTATTTATTTGAAATTGTATATCCTTTTTATGGGCTAAACTGAATGACCCACTTCCCCATTCTCGTGATCCCAACAGATATTGCAGAACTCTTAAATAACTCCTGGTTTTCTATTTGCATTAGCTATTTATTGAAAGCAATAATTATAATAAAAATATTCTTTTGTTTAAATTGTATGTAAATTCATGTCATTTAGATACTATATGACCCTCTCTGATTAATGTAAATCGTTGCATTGGATTTTTAAAAAGATCTTGAAGCAAACAACTTTCAAGATTTTTTTTTTAGTTTTGATACCTGACTTGTGATTTGGACTGTTAAGTAGATTCTTTTTACGTAGTCAGGCATATGTAAAGGCCTAATAATTTGTGATTATTATAGAATCGCACATATAGCTGAGTCTTTCAATGTGGAGGGAGTGAGAACCAGCTTGTCAGACAGGGACAGAAAAGAGATTCTTTACTGCTTTACTACCTAGTTCATTATTCTTTGACTTTTTTTTTTTTTTTTTTTGAACCAAGGGGGATATGGTGCCTCTTTGTAAAATTTAAAAATAAAGTTAAAAGATTTAAATAGTTAAGGTAAAAAGTAGAGGTTGATTTAATGAAAGATGACATTGCACATATCAAGTTTTAAAAATTTGCCTAAAGTGAGTGCATTTTGGAAAATGAGAGCAAATCACTCATTTCTTCATCTCACTATCTACTTCCTCATGTTATTAGGTCAAGTCTTTTAGTGCCTAGCTGTCAGCTAAACGTACTCTTATTTCCACTTTATGGGTGAGGAAGTAGAGGTTTCAGCAAGGCTGAGTAACTTGCCCAAAGTCACACAGCTGGTACTAGGCAGAGCTAAGATTTGGAACCAGGTCTGTCAGATCTAGTCTTTATCACTTCTCTCTATTGTATCTTTGTGAAATAAAAGGAACCAGAATGTCACTTAAAAATAAAACAACCACAGGGCCTCATTGGTGGCCTAAGGGTTAAGTTTCAGTGCTATCATTAAGTCGGCCTGAGTAAAAATGGCCCTAATTTAATCCCCAACCAGGAAGCTGGCCCACATGTGGCACAGCAGACCTCTTCTCTCTTACTTGTACTCCCCTGAGCAGTATGTTGCAGTAAATCTGCTTGCTCTGCTCCCCATTCTGTCTCTCGTGAATCCTTTTACCACTAACCCCCACCCACACACACCTCTGGTCTACTCCCCAGTTCTTTTATGCAAAAATAAATAAATAAAAATCTTTAAACAACAAACAACCACATAGACTTAGTCAAGTTCTTTACAATGTAATTTGTTTGTTTTGTCAATAGATTGGGGGGAAAACTTGATTTGGTCATTGTAACTCACTGCATTTTTTTAAAAGATTTATTTATTTATGCATACAAGAACTGGGGTACAGGCCAGAGGTGTGAGGGGTGAGAGGATTCACCAGAGACAGAGTGGGGAGCAGAACAGGAAGATTGACTGAAATACACTGCTGAAGGGAGCAGTAGGCAAGACAGGAGAGGTCTGCTGTGCCATGTGGGTTGCTCCCTGGCTGGGGATTGAACTTGTGCTGCGGTGGCTGCGGATAGCTTCATAGGGAGGCCCCGTAATTCACTGCATTTTAATTAATGAATGTAGGTAGGTAAAATGTTGGTGTTGCACTGTGGTAACATAATGTTGAAAAACTGCCCCGAATTCTTGAAACATTTTTTAATTAATTTTTTTTCTTGTCTTAGCATAAGTCGGACCAAGTTGAGGGAGGTGGAACCAGCAGCGTGCAGTGGAACTGTGAAGGGTGAACAGTGCACTAACAAAGCCCTTCCATTCACCAGGCATTGCTTCCAGCGTATCCTCTTAACTAAATCGAGTGTTCATTAGAAAGTGTGGATTCATTTATGGCTGTATATTTCTTTTTTCTTTTCTTTTCTTTTTTTTTAAGATTTATCTATCTATTTATTTATTTAATTAATTTATACAGGCACTGGGTACGGTCAGAAGCGCGGGAGGGTGAGAGAATTCACCAGAGCCAGAGGGGGGAGCAGAGCAGGCAGAAGGACCGAAGTACACTGCTGAGGGGAGCAGCAGGTGGCAGGAGAGGCCTGCGCGCCATGTGGGACCCTCCTCCGGTGGCCGGGTTGCAGCTGGGCATCGAACCAGCGCTGCAGAGGCTGCGGGCAGCTTCGCAACCCAGCGCTCAACCGCTGCGCCACTGGGGAGGCCCCTGTGTATTTCTTTTTTCTTTTGTTTTTCTTTAGAACTGGGAAAAGTTTATTATAGGTGACTCTATGGGAGGCAAAAACAGAGGGGTCTTTATTTCATTCTTAAACCAAGTGAATGACTTTTGAAGCTACAACTATTTAATGTTTAAAATCATTATTATGGGGCCTCCCCGGTGGCGCAGCAGTTGAGCGCTGGGTTGCGAAGCTGCCTGCGGCCTCTGCGGCGCCAGTTCGATCCCCGGCTGCTCCTCGGCCACCGGAGGAGGATCCCACATGGTGTGCGGACCTCTCCCGCTGCTCCCCTCAGCAGTGTACTTCGGTCCTTCTGCCTGCTCTGCTCCCCACTCTGGCTCTGGTGAATTCTCTCACCCTCCCGCGCTTCTGACTGTACCCAGTGCATGTATAAACAAAACAAACAAACAAATAAAATAAATAAATAAATAAAACATGCCTCTATAAAAAAAAAAAAGAATTAAAAAAAATCATTATGATGTAACTATTGGTGGAAAAATCAAAAACTATTTTTATGCTTCCAAGAAAGCTATACTGTTGTACAGCAGCAATAACTTACTCTTCTTTACTATCTGATTACTGCCCTTCTCTGTTTTTGTGCATTTTCACAACTTTTTTAGATAGTATTAACTATAAAAGCAAAAAAGGAAAAACAGGAAGATACTTCCTTGTTAGACATACAGTAAATCTTGTGAAAATGTAGTTAGTCGATAAAAGTACAGATGCTTAAATATGTTGATCATGTAAAGCTGATGTTCCAATTTTAATAGTAAGGTTTTGATTTTAAAATAATTTTTCATAAGTTGAAGGTTTCAGTTTGGTATTGGAAATGTGATACAAAAAATCCAAACTTGGCCGAATGATATTTTTATAATTATGTCTCTAAATTTTTTCTTCTTGATAAGTATCATATGCAGGAGTTTTCCTTAATAGAAGTTGGCTATTTAACCATTAATAGTGGAACTTTTAATAGTCATTGTGTAAAAAGGAAATGACCCTTCTTCAAATCACAGCAATCAGTAATGCCATAAAGGAGGCTTATGTTCACAGTCCATTAGCAAAATTGACTCCTTTAGATATATATTCTGATAAATTGGGTTGATAAATTCAATTATTATAATTTTCCCATATTAATAGTTGGCTTGATACGTTATCCTTTATACATAATAAAATGTATACTTATCAAATAAAGTAAGGGAAAGAGTAAATTTTATGTAGAAATTGGAACATTATATAGAGGTTCAGCGATTTTATTCCTAACTTAAAAAAACCCAGATATCCTCTTGAACCGCTCTCAGCAGCTCTTCTCAAGTTGCACGGCCAAGTTTGCAGATGGACAGCAATGCTCTGTGCCCGTATTTGACATTACACACCAGACACCTCTGTGTGAAGAACATGCCAAAAAAATGGTGAGTTCAGATTTGATTTTATACAACAGAGACTTTTAGATGCTGATAGCTATGGACAGCAGGAAGTATCTTGTGACTTTCAGTACCAACTACATGTATATACAAATCACTGTAACAACTTTTGTGAAGTAATACTTTCAGTGCCTGATATTTTCTACTTTGTTCTATTACTGTTAGAAAACAGTAGTCCAAAAAAGTGCTAGTTTTGATGCATTTGAGTTAATTTCATACCACTATTTAAAAAAAGTAAACAGTGTTTCAGAAGTTATTTAGTAGGTACTCAAACAAGGTCATTGTGTTTACCATAGTCTATACGTCTAAAGATGCATTTTCTTATACTTAGCAGGCTTCCACACTTTCATTGCCCATTTCTCCCATTTTTTTTCTATACAATTCTGTAAATATTGAATATAATTTCAGTCAAAAGCCAAACCTTTACATAATCCTATTGAACTTAACTAATTATTGTTCTAGTTAATGCTAGTATCATGAGCCCTAATTCATTCAGAAAAATTTGGAGGCTAAGTCTGAATTAATGAGCTGAATTAAATAATTATATAATCATTTATTTTAGTTTTAAAATGGTTTTTATTGAAGTAGCATTGTTTTATAGCACACAAAGTTCACATATACAGCAGCATAATTTGACATCTGTATATATTACATTGTAATCACCACCAAAAGTCTAGTTTCCATTCTCCTATTTGTTCAATTTACCCACCCTTCTCTAGCCACCCTTGTGTTCCTACAGTCTGAATTTTGTTCTATTTCTTTATCTCCCACAAATAAGTGAAATCATATGGTATTTGTCCTTTTCATCTGACTTATTTCCTTTAGAAGTGGAATAGCTGGGTCATCTGGTGTTTCTGTTCTTAATTTTTTTAATAATCTCCATACTGTTTTCCATTGTGACTGCACCGCTTATGTTCCCACCAACGGTGCGGGAAGGTTCCCTTTTCTCCACATGCTCACTAATGCTGTTGTTTCTGGTCTTTTTGACATTGGCCGTTCTCATAGATGAGAGGGAGAGCTTGTTGATTTGCATGTCCCTAGTAATAAGAGATAGTGATCATCTTTTTATGTGCCTGTCAGCCATTTATATGTCTGGAAATCATTTAAACTAAAAGCATTTTTATTGTTTTCACACATCCGAAACTTGCTAAATTCTTCTGCTATTTGAAGGTATTATGCCAGGTACCTTCTATACCAAAAAAAGTAAACCAACTCTTGCTTCTGTGAGTATGTGACAGTTTTCAGAGGTATAGGGTATCTAAATAGCCAGTGGCCCAGAATTTAATAGTCTAAGGTTGTGATCCTGACATTGACACTTGGTAAATGTTTGCTAGAATCTAATGATTCATTCTTTCTGGACCATAGTTTTCATTTATGTTGTTCAGTAACTTCTACGCTAAATCTGTTTTGTTTTTTAGATTTCTTTTATGAACCATACAATTTAAAATGTATTTAGTTATGAGCTATTCCTGAATTCATTAAATCAAAGATAATATCAATTGTAAAAACCACTGTTGTTTTATATGCCACCAAGACAAAAAAATTCTCCAAGATGCTTTCTTATCACTTAAATTTTTGTTTTTAACTTACCAGATACCTTCTTTAAACTTTGACACTGATTTTCAACTCCTGGTTCAGTTGTATTACTTGACTTGTGAAAGGCAGTATTTTCTAATTTACTTTAGCTGTCACACAGCTTTGTGGTTATTTTCCTTTCTCACTTGATTGTTGCTTTGTGATTGAAAAAAAAAGAAATTGTGGTCTGTCTTCAATAATGAATATTTGCTTCACGAGCAACGTGCCTTTCTGCATACACACCACCTTTCCTTCCACATGTGATACCAGTAATGCACATACCTTTACTTCAAACAATGCCAGTACAAAAAGCTGTGACCAGCTTTAAGCATATGTAGACAGTGCCAACTATAATAACTAGCACCTGGCCAATAGCAGTTGTAAAATACCATTATTGCAAAATCCTCCTTAATTGCAGAGATACTAAAATGTGCATCTTTGAATTGATGAAATATGGCATTCAGATTTAAGGTTCCTAGCTGAAGAAAGCTAGTTATCTTGTCAATTTCTTATTTTTCTTTACTGGTTTATCTTTAATTGCAGCAATTTTATAAGGCTGTATCCCACTGCTTCTCTCTTTACCTTGTCTCCTGGCCCTTAAATTACTTGAAAGACTTTTATTGTGTCATAATTTTCAAGTCTACATCTTCATCGCTCTCTTTATTCCTGTGTACTAGTACAGTTTTCTCCCTCCCTAAACATCTTCATACCTCAAACTGTATGTGAGCCAAACTAATTCTTTAAGTTTTCTTCTGAATCTGTTTATTCTGCTCTGTTCTTTATTCCAACTAATAGTTTCATCATCCATTAATCACTCAAATTGAGTAATTGAAGGGACAATTAGTTCTACATCCCCTTCATCTTTACCACATTCCAGGATCTGTTCTTGAGAATTCTATCTCAGCAACTTCTTTCCCCCTCTCTTTACTTTTAGCTGTTTATCTTGGATCATCTGTTCAAAGAGCCCCCTAATTAGAATTATTACCTCCATCCGTTTACTGCTTCTGTGCATCTCTTTACATTGCTACCAATTAGTCAATCTTTCATGTTACTTCTCTCATCAAAAGTCACCCCCCATTACTTGTAAAATAAAGTTTAGAATGAGATATTGTAAGCTATACGTGAGCTAGTCCCGAATTTCTTCACAATTTACTTTTATATTTCATCACATGTAAACCCTCAGCACCAGTCATATCCAACTATTTGCTCTTAGTTTTGTTTGTGCCACTTTCTTTAACACAGAATAATTTTCCCCCTATCCCAACCAATAAAAATCCTACTTATCTTTTAACACCTCAAACACTTATCTTTTAACACCTAAAGGTAATTGATTTCCCTTTTGTGTGCTCATAGATGTTTGTGTTATTATCACCCAATTTTCTCTATGCTTTATGTATACTTGTATCCGTATTTTTCCCATAGGAGAATTAAGTTGAGCACAAATTTTCTTCATTTTCTTACAATAGCTACCGAATTGTTTTTGAATGTGGGATGAGCTATTTGCATGTATTGAATTGGTTTGAGTTGAATTTTAAAATTTATTTTTTATTCATTTGATTATTGTTAGATAGCTGTTAGGTTTTTTTACAAATAATCCCAGGCTAAAATACACATTTATTCAATCCAAAGGATAATTTCTTGAGAGGTGATAGCTCCCGTAAGGTTCAGCACCAGCAGCAGAGGAAACCCAGGAAAAAAACCAAGCCTCCTGCACTTACCAAAAAACACAAGAAGAAAAGAAGGCGTGGACCTCGTCGACCCCAAAAACCCATTCCCCCTGCAGTCCCCCAAGGGAACCTCAGCATGCCCACCAGCGTCTCACTGCCAGTGGAGGCCTCTCAGATCCGGTCAGTAAAGGAGCCCAAATTTATGTTTCCTTCACATGTTCTGATTGTTCCAGAACATTTAGTTATGTTGACTTGTCTAGTATAAAGAGCTAACTACAGCAGCCATTCAGTATATTGACCTAGACAGTTTAGTTTTCAGTGCAGACTTTACCAAATATCTGCTGAGGTTAGTTCTTGATTATACCAAAGAGAGCAGATGTTGAAATTGAGAATTTTATTGTATATGTTCAGTTTTTTTTCTATTTTAATAGATATTCCATATTTCATAAGAAATCTGATGCATTATTAATTTTGGCCGGGGCAAGCATTTTGACCAAATGAATGTGGTTTCTGTTATAGCTAGAAATTAACTGTTTATCTCATTTAAATATGTACATATATGTGTATGTATTACCAAAGTCTTCTAAAAAGCATTAAGACACTCTTGATATCCCAGATTGTAATTCATTCTACTAACTCAAAGTAAAAATGCTATCTTGAAACAGTTATCTTCTCTTAATGTGTGGGTAAAGGTTGCAGCTATATGTGACTATACACAGTGCAGGCTATTCTTTTGCTTTCAGATTTCCTTATCTTAAGGTGGAAAGGAGACACTGGTTAGGGTTTCTCATTTTCATGTTGGACGCGCTTGTCTCGGTGACATGAGTGTCGAGGTGAAAGGGTAGTGGTGGGGCCAACCATGTCCTGTCCCCCAGGAGCCCGTCCACACCAGAGCTGAGTGCTGATGAGTTGCCGGATGACATTGCCAATGAGATCTCTGACATTCCACACGACTTGGAATTGAACCAGGAAGACTTCTCAGATGTCCTGCCACGGCTACCTGATGACTTACAGGATTTTGATTTTTTTGAAGGTATGGTCAACGTTTTGATTCAAGAAGACTGGTTTTAAAAATGAGTCTGTAAGAGGGAAATAGTATGTTTTGAGATGTTTGAAGCATTCCTCCACATACATAAGACCTTTCACTGTGATTATGAAAATATAACATTGCTAAAAGTATTTCACCCCTTTTTGACGTGAGGAATGTGCATTGTGTCTAACCATCTGACAAGCTTAGTAGAGTGATAGTCTGACAGCTAGGTTTATAACTTTGTTTCTTAAGAATGAGTGGTTTCAGAGCCTCTTTGGTGGTGTAGGGTTTAAAGTCTCAGCGCTATCAGGCTATTGCCAGCCACTGCAGCATGAGTTCCATCCCCGACCAGGGAGCTAACCCAGGGAGCAGCAGACCTCTGCTGTTGCATATTTTGGTAGATCTGCCTGTTCTGCTCCCCACTTTGTCTCTGGTGAATCCTCTCATTCCCCACACCTCTGGCCTAAACCTCAGTTCTTGTGTGCATCAATAAATAAAATAAATCTTTAAAAAAAAAGAATGAGTGATTTTACATTATTTTTGAACAAAGATATTTTTAAACTTGAAGTTTACTGAAGTTTTTTAGAATTTGTCCCAATTTCAATACCCCACCCCCTACTTCAGTTGATGTACACTTTTCCCAACTAAAGTTTGCTTAATCAATTGCTTCTTGCTTTCAGTGGAAATATTTTATATCTTTAAAATGTTTATTTCACTATTCAAAATTGGGTATTTTTGTAGTGGTTAGTCAAGTTGTTGACAATAGATTTTTTTAGTTTGGAAATGGCATTGTAGGCCCATGGACTTCTGGTTTTATGCAAATTAGTTAGAAATGGGAAAGAATGAGAGAAGAATTAGAGAATAACTCAAAGCAATTTCAAAAATAACCCATGAAATGTGTTGTTTCGTGTTGTGCTGAAACAAAACACGTGTATGAAAGTCTGTATGCTAGTTTTCCACAGCTTCCCCTCCAACTGGAAGAGTCTAAGGTTAGAAGAACCAAGGTGGGCCCTACAGTCTTCTGTCTCAACTCTGAACTGATATGATAGGTTTTCTCTCAGTGACTTGAACATAACTTGAGGCAAAAAACTTATGTATAACCAAATAGTCACTGTGAGTCTTAAGTTGGTAATTCTGAGACTCCCTAGGAATTTAACATTAAGATAAGGTGGGTTTTGAAAGCACTGTAACTAAACTGAAGAGATGATACATGGTCCGGGACAGCTGATCCTTTCAGGCCTGTCCTGCAAATTAATATCCCTCTTTTTCCTTCCAATACAATCCTTGGAAACTTCTCTTTCAATGGAGCATTGTTAATCATTCAAAGGGGCCTTGTTCCTGGCTTAAGGTGGGTAACACTGTTGATTCTTGGTGAATTTTGTTTCCTCAGGAAAGAACGGAGACCTCATCCCAACTACCGAAGAGGCCGAGGAACTTGAACGGGCCTTGCAGGCTGTAACCTCTCTCGAGTGCCTGAGTACCATTGGGGTACTTACCCAGTCGGATGGAGTGCCAGTCCAGGAGTTGTCAGACAGAGGAATAGGGGTGTTCTCTGCAGGAACCGGAGCTTCAGGAATTCAGTCTTTGAGCCGAGAAGTCAACACGGACCTTGGGGAGCTGTTGAATGGGCGTATAGTACATGATAATTTTTCTAGTCTAGAGCTGGATGAGAATCTGCTCCGTTCTGCTACCTTGTCCAACCCACCTACACCCCTGGCAGGGCAGATCCAGGGGCAGTTCTCTGCCCCAGCCAACGTTGGCCTTACTTCTGCCACTCTGATCAGCCAGAGTGCACTTGGGGAGAGAGCCTTCCCAGGACAGTTTCATGGACTTCATGATGGCAGCCATGCCTCCCAGAGGCCACATCCTGCCCAGCTGCTGAGCAAGGCAGATGACCTAATCACCTCACGACAGCAATACAGCAGTGATCACTCACACTCCTCGCCCCATGGAAGCCATTATGATAGTGAGCACGTGCCGTCTCCCTATAGTGACCATATCACGTCTCCCCACACAACATCTTACTCTGGTGATAATATGGCAGCTACCTTTTCAGCAGAGATGCCCATCATGGCGCAGCACTTGCTCCCCACCCAACTTGAGGTGCCACTTGGAGGAGTCGTAAACCCCAGAACTCACTGGGGTAATCTCCCTGTCAACCTTGGAGATCCCTCTCCATTTAGCAACCTTCTCGGCGCAGATGGACATCTTCTTTCCACTTCCCTGTCCACGCCACCCACCACTTCGAACTCAGAGACCACACAGCCTGCCTTCGCCACCGTGACCCCCAGCAGCTCCAGTGTGCTTCCGGGGTTACCGCAGACCAGCTTCAGTGGCATGGGGCCTTCTGCTGAACTTATGGCCTCCACCTCTCCCAAGCAGCAACTCCCTCAGTTCAGCGCAGCCTTCGGCCACCAGCTGAGTTCTCACAGTGGCATTCCCAAGGACCTGCAGCCCAGCCACAGCTCTATAGCCCCTCCTACAGGCTTCACAGTAACAGGTGCCACAGCTACAAGTACCAATAATGCATCCTCTCCCTTCACCTCCCCTAACTGAGCGTGTCTGTGTTTGCAGGCAGGTGGGGAACTTGGTGTTTTCTATCTTTGTTTCCTCTTTATCACCCCTTCCCCTTTTCCTAAAGAAGATTTTAAAAATAACAGATGGGGACACAAGGGGAACTCCCTTTTCCAGTTAAAACAAGTTACCCGCAGTGGACCTCGCTTCAGTGTTCACATGTGCTCCTGCGCACTGGTGCTCATTCCCTCCTGGCAGGTTCACTGCACCCCAGTGGTTTCCTTAGTGGTTCAGCACAGTGACTGGATAGAATTGATTTTTAGCAGCAAGTCCTAGAAGTGGAAGATACCTCAGATTACCAGTGCCCTTTACTATTTCCTAGTATTCAGATAACGCTTTCCATTATATTGCCAGATCTTTATAGGTGGTTCTAGATAGAAAGTTCCTATTAACTGAGTTCCTGTGTAAGAGGTAGCAAATGGTGTGCAGGGGCAGATCGCGGCTCTGACTGCACCAACCGCTAAACGCCACATGAGGCCAGGATTCCATTCCCACTTATGATCATGTTTCATTAAAAAAAAAGAAAGTTGGTCTCTTGACCGCCAGTGTGTATGTGTACACCCCGTGTGTGTTCTTGTGCAGGCCAGGGAATGGCTGTCCCGTTGGTGTCTTTTTTTCCTAATGAGTATGGTTCTTATCTCTCCTTACCCACATCTCACAACCCTGATAAGGTTGGTCATTTCCCACTGAGTTCACCAAGTTTCCTGAACAGAGAGGGTGGTGGATTAGAGGTGAGAATAGCACAACCCTTTTCTGTTAAGTTATCCCAAGGAGGACAGAGCACAGGAAGCTGAATGCTGGGTGTGCTTGGGGGAGGGAGGAGAGGGCGGGACTGCAGCTGCTGAAATTCTGAGGCTGGTGGTGGCTGTGTTGCCTTTTCAGACATGCATTTGTTTTGAATCCCTCTCCCGTGGAATACATTTGCAAGATGTAAAAAAATATACCATTGGGATGTGCAAGCAGGATAGGTCAGGCAGATGTGGAAAGGCGGGCCCTGCAAACTCCTTGATCCATCTTTTGCTTTTGAATTTTTCATGTTTACGGTAGTGATTTTTGGTAAGATTTGTAAAATGTTGAAGACACTTGTAGAATCAGTGTACCAGTTGTGAAGTGATGTGTAATATCTGAAGGATATACATTTTGAAGTTTCAAAGCAGTATATGGAAATGAGACAAATTTTACGCACCCTTCAGTACTTTAAAAAAAAAATTAAGTACTTAGATTTAAATTTGGGGGAAACTTTTTTAAGATACAGGATTATAGGGTTAAAAGTCATATTGGGTAGTGTAGTAAGTTGGTGACTATAGAATGAATATGTGAGTTTTCTTTTTACCTGCCTTCTCCCCTCTACCTGCCACCCCCGTGGAACTAGATTTTAAAGGCATCTTTTCTCTACTTTTGCAGAGAAGTTTCACTGTCCCCTGAGATATACCATTGGCTATTTATACCTGAGTAGTCTAATTTACATATATATATTTTAAAAGATGAGTAGAGAGAACATATCTATTAATGATGTGATATAATAATTCATTTGTCAGGGAATATTTGATCTTAATTCCTTTTCAATAGGTAAAGATTTGGATGTATTTTCCTACTTCCTATATGTATTCTCTTTATGCCATGCTAATTCTAACCAGTCCCTTCTTTTGAAAGCTTTTCTTTCTCTGCTTTTTAAAGGAATGATGGTGGTCAGCAGGCATTATGCAGATACCACGTGCCTGAGATAATGGAGGGGAAATGTCACGTGACTGTATGAAATCATTATATGCCCTATTTTGTATTTATTGAAGTTTCTTTTTGTGGGCCAAAAATGTGTTTGTAATATATTTAGTTTTTTTTTTTTTTTAATCATGATAATTGATTGGAGGATTTATTTTTAATAGCTTTGCCTTTTTTTGCAGATTGAAAAATTTCTAAATTATAAATTATGTCACAAAGCAAAATTATATTTGGTATCACCATAAATTTCTATTCCTAGTGGTGAGAATAGTTAATTTGACTATTTCTTACCTGTGAGCCTATGTTAGCAAGCTTTTTTATGTTACTGTACTGTAATGAAATGATTCTTCTGAGTAGTTACCTCTGCTCAAAAGTGTCATTTAGTTTGCTAAACTCTTTCACATCCCAGTACAATCCTCACTAGAAAACCATCCATTCCCAGCGATTGACTTGGTCTCCTTTGTATGCTAATTACAGGTGGTAGCAGAAGAGCACATTGACTTTCTTCTCAGCCCTTCTCTCACAGTGAAGGAAAGTCTTGGGTAGTTGATTTGTCCCTCATGGTAGCTGCTTGAAATTCTTCAGTTATCAAAGCTGAGTTTGCAGTAAGTTGCACATTTTATAGTTTGCAATTTTCTGTTGTATGTGCATTTAAAAGCCCTTTTCTGCTTTCTAATAAGGAGGCATGAAATGATCAGGAATGTTGCCAGTTACAGCTTCACACCAAAAATTTTGAGTAAATTCATTTTTGTTTATAGACGCCCACGATGATAGCTGAAGAAAGGGCACCTGTAGAAAGTACCAGTGTAGATTTTGAGGAATTAGCAAAAAAACAAAAGTTTTCCTCTCATTTCATCTACTTCAAAATAAAATCTGAGCTTACAGTTTGCTTTACTTTTGCCATTTCTTGTGAGTCCCTTTTTGGAAGAGAAAACATCTGTGAACCCAGGGATATCCGTTATGGTCTTCTAGCTAATGGATGCTTCTAGTCTGTCGGTAGTAGGTTTGCTATGGATATGTAAAGAAAGGAAGTGTCTTTTGCTCCAGAAATATAAACAATTAGTGTCTTCTAAAATAATACTTATCATAAGGCAATACTGGAATCAAAACAAATTTTAAATAAGGTCCTAAATAGGTGAAAGCTAGCTTTTATCCTAGTGTTAAACTCATGAGAAATAGTACAACGAAGCCTCATTCTGTTTCTGCAGTTCTTTGGGACCATTTATAAAGGCCAGTTCGATTGTATTAATGTGATTTAATGTACAAACTTGCTGCAGTTAATGGGTGCATTCTGTATTCTGAGAATCTGAATTCCATTCTAATGTATGATATTCACTGGCTGTGATCTGTAGCATCTCAAGAAAAGATGTGTTTTCTCTCCTTTACTCTCTACACAATTGTTAGTATTATTTTAATTAAAGTACTTAAGACATTGTTTTTTTTCTCTGTAAAAATGGCTTAGCAATTTGCACATCTGGGTAGGTTATGTAGCTAGTAAACAATCCACAGTAGTAAATAGCAATTACACTTAACCCACCAAGTGACAGACTATGCAATGGAACTTTTTCTAATTAATGTCGCATAGCTTATTCGGTGAAGGATTATTTTCTCTAGAAACCTACCATGTGAGATAACTGCTTTATAAATGACTTCCTGAGCAATTTCATGTGGGCAAGCGGTGTGGTGTGTCTAGTGTCCCTCCGTGAAAAGATTATAATTTAATGAGAAGCAAATAGTAGGTGTGGAGATCAACTTGGAAAATGGATTTCTTTTCCTCAAAATTTTACTGTGTTTAGTAGCTTTAAGGCTAAAGAAAGCTACTACTTTATCTTTTCCAAGTAATTCTTTATAAGACTTATTTCTTAAATAAGCCCAGTCTTTTCAACTGCAAGTTAAGAATCATCATTTTTTGTGACTAACACTAAAACTTAATCAGAGTTCATTCTCCATCCATGATGACAGTCCACAGAGACAAAGACAGTTCTTTGATTTGGCAGAAAAGGATGTATGTGACGACACAGGTGCCCTGTCTGACAACTTTCATCTCATGTGAAAGATTCTATATTTCTAGACCTATACCACTCAGTTTTTACCAATTGGCACCAAACTTTGAGCATGGAGGTTCCTCCCATGCTGTCCATCCCGCGATGCTTGCCTGTCCTTCCCGCGCCTGCGCCTGCGCCCTGGGGTGGCAGTGATGGCTGGTGAAAAGCTTTCTTGGTGATGTTTGTGTGAGGCCATTGCCTTGTGGTGAAATTGGTATTGTAAAAAGATGAGGCTATTAATAACACTAAACTAATACGTTTGAAATCATTTGAAAAACTTTAGATGTCAAAGTTTCCAGTTTATCCTCTTTCTTTGTACTCTCTTAAAAATTCTATTAAATTTTATTTTTAATATGAAATATATTAAATAACCTAGTAGGATGGTCTTCTAAATGATCAGCAGAACTCTGCAGTTTAATATGGGGGCAGTTTAAAGGATTCCTTGAAAGAAAATGTAGTCATACTGAATAGTCTGCACTTTTGTAGCTCTTTCATCACTAACACCTACATTGCTCCAAGGATTTTTTTCACCTGATGGAAAGATACTTCTTGGGGAGGGATGAGGTTGGGCATAGGTATGTGATCAAATTCAGTTCCCTGCTCCATACATTAAAAATAATTGATTGAATCTTCACTGACATTCTATAGAAAGTTAACACAGTTTAATGACCTCTTAATATCTTGAAATTCCAATATCACATTCTGGGTGGGGGAAATGAAATCCTCATTTAGTAGGTGACAGAAACATTTTAAATGCTATCTTTGAAAATATTTGAAGTGAAATATCAATGAGGAACATATCTGGACATCTGTTAAGCATTTCCCCTGGCCAGTGAGTTAGGAAAGAAAACACAAAACATTTATGAATAATTATGTCTCCCCTAATTACCAGTGTTGTTCACATGAAAATTGTGGGTGAAACTTAGAGAGCCTGATTTCTGTATCAAAAATTCTCTCTTCACTCCAGCTCTTCCCTGTTAGCTTCCTAATCAAAGGAAATACGGCATTTCCGAGAGACAGCAAATTTGGTGTGACTCTTTACCCTAGGTTCCTGTATCTTTGGCTACTTTGAATGGCAGAGTTTTGGATGATCTAAAATTCATTGTGGAAAATAATCTTAAGAGAAACCTGTCTAACTTCTAGTGAGCTACGCAGGGCAGTGAAACTTTTCTTCCTCTGGCCACTGCCTGCGCGCCCCAGCCCGCCCCAGTCCTGAAGTATGCACACCCAGATCTGCGCTGGTAGAATCTTTCACTTGTTTTCATTGTTTTAAGCTGGGGACCACTGATGTAAGCTCTATATGCACCCAAAGTTCCCCTTGGAAGAATTTCCAGCATGCAGTGCAGAAGGCTCCATGCAGCTCAATTGCTGCACCATTGCCTTTACTTGGGGAATATGCTGATTTGCCCTGAACTGGCCCCACCTGCCTCGTTAAGGTACAGTTGGCTCCAGCGGATTGGTGTGAAGTGGTGGGAAGTTTGAAACTTGTTGACCATTGTCTTCATCTGCTTGGAAGAGTTGAATCAGCTCCTCTCAACAGTGATGGTTCTTTTCACTGTATAGTGTTGAGTATGTCTCAGGGATTCCTTGTGGAAATTAGGGCAGTTTTTAAAATAAAATAGTTTTAAAAGAAACTAAAGGTGACTCATCATCAAAGAGAGCGCAAGAAAGAGAAACGTTTGGTTTCACAGCCCACAATGTCTGGCACAGGACCTCTTTCCTTTCTCCTTCAGGCTCTTGACTCAGCACCCAGCATCCTTTCCCATCACGCACAGCTTTAAAACTTTTATTTAAAAATTTCCTTCCCCAATGAGCTTTCAGAATACTTATTGTAGATTTTAAGAGAAAAAGGTATATTAATTTATGCTATTAACATCACCTCATAAATTATAAGTTTTATACTAAAGCTGTATTGAGTGTAATGAATTATGTTGCCTATGTGTTTAATAGCTTAAAAAATATATGAGCTTTTTTTTTTTTTTTTACAAAACAAACTAGTGAAGCACCTTTTTACACTGGATCTCTGCCGTGTCAAGGTGTCTAGCTATCCTTTGCTACCTTGCAGATATATAAAATAAAAGGATATCCTGGGGCCTCAAAATGTAGAACACCTTTAGACCTTTATTACCGCTCATAGAACTGTTGAGAATCATGTTTCTTTAGTAAATGATCTGTGGTTTACACTTTCGATGGCTAGAAACTTAGTTACAGGGTAAATAGAAAAACATAGATCAAGTAAAACTCCCAACTACTGTAGCTGGAATTTGTAAACTGTTTTTAAGACCTCTTTTATTTCCTATGGATTTATTCTTTAATTTACAGTTTAATTTGTAAGTTGGGAAGTAAAATAGAGAAAATAATAAATCTAGATGTTCTCAGTGTCTTATTCAGGAACTTTTTATCCCTCCTCACTAAGGAATTCCCACTGTGACTTAAAAATAGATTTAAATTACTGTGTGCATGTAGATGTCTGTGTTTTTACACACATGCAAAAATATACATTGGGGGCACGTGTGTGAGAAAGATGAATGTGTGCTTAGGTAAAAATAGAGAAAGGTAGCAGAATGTATTATAGAAATATGTTTTATGTTGAGGATTTTGGAATTACTTTCTCATTGTCTCTGTTGTATAAATACACCAAATTCTTCATTATGCTATGTTAAAAGGCTAGCTCTGATATCATGTGCTTTTTATTTTAACCTTTTGATTAACTTATATTACACCTTGTTTTGAAAATAACATGCGAAACAGCAGATTATAAAACCAGCCTCTCGCTTTTAAAAGCATAAAAATCAGAGAGAGATCCAGATGTGAGCAGTTTTTATCTGTGGAATGATGGGACCAGTGATCAGTTGAATCTTTTTTTATGTTAATATATTTCTTCATATCCTGAGTTAGAAAATATTGTTGCTCATCTTTTCTTGGTGAAGTTAAGAAAACTATAGGCCTTTTATTAAAAAAAGCATTTTTTTGAAGGGGCTGCTGTGTTCACCATGCATATTTCAAAGCTGGGAGGATTTCAGGATATCAGTTATTTCTGAAAAATGTTTTTAATTAATCAGTCATGCTATTATTTATGAAGGTAAAGTGCCCCTGCCCCCAACATCATATTTTGCCTACAGGAAAAATTATGCTACCCTTGACTTTACCTGGATTCATATGGAATTAAAAAAAAAAAATACATTCCTGTATTTTGAGTTTTAAATTGTCATTTTGCTCTACATTCATTACTGGAGTATCTGGTGGTCTAAAATAGTCAAAACTAGATTTGTTATTAAATGCTCTGATCACATTTATTTTTAATAGTAAAAAACATTTACTTTAAAATATGTCAAACAACTTCTGATAATACACTGAATTTGTAGTTGTCTTTGAAGCCTCATTCATCTTAGATATAGTCAAGACCTAGGAAAACTTTATATATTGTTCTTTTTTTACAGTTGTATTTTTGCAGCATCTCCCAGTTTCACTCAACTCTTGCTTTATGGATTAAAAAAAAAATCTGCATATTTCTTGTACATATGCATGCAAATGAAAGAAGGGAGTTTGTATTGGTGCCATTTCTCCCTTCAGTTAGTGGTTAATGGGATTTGCTAGAATAAATTCCCCCTGATTGAAGGGTGAAAATAGACCCTTTTGTGTATATCTGTACAGAGATGTGTATATGGGATGTGGTGGCACTTTGCTGAATGTGAACTTGCCTTGTCAATGGAAAGATTGAAAAGTATTATGTTTATTTATACATTTGTATAAATCTATATATACACGTATGTATATGTGTGTGTATAGATAAAGCTATATACATATATTTCCCTAAAAAATGTGTGTGTATAATAGATAAACAGCCTTTGTTAAGCAAGATTATATGTCTATGGAAAATTCTGGATTATTCTGTAAGCAGAAGGAAGTGACAATGTAGAGTATATCATCAGAGCATACTGAAATGGAAGTCCTTTGGATTATAGTCTTGTGTATGGTTATTATAATTAGTTCCTGCCAGAACTATTCTTACTTGCCATTTCTACTTTTCTTTGTCTTTACTACCTTCTTAGTCAGTCTCTCATCACTTAAAAACCATACTTCACTTGTGGTTTTTCCCCCTGTATTATGTCCTTTCTAGCCAGCAGACTTAAGCTAATTTCCTTTGACTTCTCAAGATTTACACAAAGTTGTCCTTTAAAGATCTTTATCTCCGAGTTTCCCAGAATATAAAAAGTTTTGGTTATATGTTCTATAGTAATTTTGAGAAATTGGGCATTCATCTTTGTATCAAAATGAACAAGCAAACAAAAAACCCAACATTCAAACAAAACCAATCTGGAAGTTTTACCTCAATAATTTTGGGACACATAAATTGGAAGAAGAAAATGATTATGATTTTATGATTCATATTAGGTTTAAGTCCATTTTCTCATTTATTAGCATTAACTTATCTTAACAAATTGGTTTTTGTGGTTTAATCATAAATTTAACATTTTCAATAATGGAAAAAAGTCAGACGTGAGCCTCTTGAATTCTATAACTCATTTTACTCATGATGAAACTGCTCTAATGAATTCTTGTGTAATGAATTCTGGTATGTTTCCTTCTGACTTTTCTTACACTTGTAACATTCTGTTTTAACTTTGCTGCAGCTCTCTAGAAAACTTGCATCCCTATATATTGTGCCTTTAAAGCTCTTATGCACACACAGACAAAAAGTGTATATATACATGTTGAAGCATGTGTACATATACTTTGGTATAGACTCACACAGTATGTCTCCAGTATATATTGTGGGAGTAGATCTATAGATATTCAAAGGCAATGAAATGTTGCTCTCTAGATATATATGTATATAAATAGTGTTGATATACTGTATATACACATGTATATGTATGAGTTTTAAATGGCAATCTTACATTTAGCAAAATGCTGCCCCTACTGGAATATTGTCACTGCAATGGCAGTTGTATGTAATGATTTAAAATACATTAGCAAAAATTATTTAAAGAACATTTAAAAGTCATCTAAAGACATCTACACATTATTTATTTATCTTCCTTTCCCTTTTATTGTTCCTTTTTTTAACTGAGGGAGACTGTCATTTTAAAAATGCTATCTGTCCCATGGGAATCAGAGAGAGAGGTGGAGATGCACTCTGGGCACCCTGTGCAATTTTTCCTCTCTGAAATGGAGACGCGCCACAGACCAGCCTGTTGATTTCAGTTATAAAGCAGTCCTAATATTTCCATTAGTGTATGTCCTCTACTATCTCCTGGATTGACTTAATTCACCAATTTGCCTCTTCATTTCATTAATAAATAGTGATCATTGAGATCATTTTGCCTGGGGAAAGTTAACTACTCTCTAGCTGCAGGGAAATATATCTCCTAATTATTATTCTGCCTTTTTGAAATTCAACTTTGCGAGATGGCCGCTTCTCTTGATGCGGTCTTAAGCATGTTTTGCTTTATTTAGTTAATGGTCTTCCCAACATTTTTTTGAAAAAAGAACTCCAAGTCTGTATGCAATTAACAGATTTAATTGTTATTCCCCACAGCTTCAGGTATTTTTCACTGATACATCAATTTGACACACTGAATGAAGGAATATTAAGAAAAAGCTGTTAAATATTTTATTTTATGATGAGTCAGCAGCAAGACCTAAACAGTGAGAGGAAGGTAGATAGACAATCCTCAATTTTAAGATGTTACGAAAAAGCAGTGAAGAAAGAGGACCCTCTGAAGACTGAAATGAAGAGCTTGGGGTTTGAGTGACTTGAGAGTAGCTTAGCTGGAACTTGATATCAGAAGCAGCCTTTAACGAAAGCCTCTTCTTGGCGGTTGTGTGGTACTAACTAGATACTAGAGTATGAAGTGTCAGCTGGAATCAAGTTGCAGTGGGAAATCAAAGGTGAGGTAGCTTATTCAAAACCAGTAAATGACAGACAGTTTGCCCAGTTTTAAAATCTAACCAAGTAACTGCACGGTAGCAAGGACTAGCAGCTCTCTAAGCCCTTTTTCAGTGTTCTCATTCACCTTGGCACACGAGTATGTTGAACACGCCATACATTAAAAAATATTTACAACAACAAAAAAAGCTGCTTAAAGGGAACTTACAAACTGAGAATCTTCTCTGCATTTGTGTTAATAGTGGCTGGGAAGTTATATGCACAAAAGCTAGGAGCCACTTCTTTCTGCACAGATTATAGGAGCAAGATGAGATTGGCACATCTTGTTAAGTAAGAGCCCCTGCTTTGGATAGAAAGGCATTTCTATGGCATGGTGTGGTGTTGCTGAGGGTGGCCACCCTGTGGGAGGTGATGAGCTTTTGGTTTGTAATTTCCCTTTAAACAAGGAGAGATGGCTCACATTTTCCATATATATCTCAATGAATGTACTGTATTACTGTTTTAAAAATTTGATGAAATAATATCGGATTGGTCTCCTTTGTTATCTGGTCCTTGTTTAATTTGTTTAAGGGTTTTTGTATACAAAAGTTTACATTTTTATGTATATTTTTCTTGTGTAAAAACTGATGTAATATGTGTATAAAACACTGTATGTATTATCTGTATATAGTGTGACAAAATGATTTTTCTTTCTTTCTTTTGGATGTATTAATAAATCTTGCTGTGAAGTAGCCTTGGTTTTACTATAATTGCCTGGATATTGATGGAAACTGCTAATACAAGGTAGGTATTTCTCGCCCTCCCCCCCAATTTTGTTACTAAAATAGAGTAAATTTTTTTTTAAGATTTATTGATTTATGCATACAAGAACTGGAATGCAGGCCAGAGATGGGCGGCGGTGGTGAGAGGATTCACCAGAGACAGAGTGGGGGGCAGAATAGGCAGATCTACTGAAATACACTGCTGAGGGGAGCAGCAGGTGAGACTGGAGAGGTCTGCTGCACTGTGTGGATCAGTTCCCTGGTAGGGGAACGAATTCAGCCCGGAGGGGATTGAACTCCCATGGTCATATTGCTGAGGCTTAACCCCTAGGCCACCAAGGAGGCCCTAAAACAATGGTTTTCTAATGTTTTGTTATTTTGCTTGTTAGCCTTTACAAATGCTAAAAAGCTTAAACACTTCTGTTTCGGTTTTGATGACCTAAAGTATTGTATTCACGTTCATGTGCTGGGCAGAGGCTGGCCTCTCCTGTATGTGTTGTCCGCTGGCCTTTCCAGCAAGTGGCCCCTTACTCCCTGTGGACCCAGCCTGCAACTACTACTGCCTGTGTGACTTCTTGCCTTTGCCCTTGTTGACTAACCAGTACTCAAGCTTCCTAATCACGCTATGCCTTTTGGCTCTTTTCATGGACTTTTGCGTGTCTTTGCTTCCTCTGTAATCTTTCCCAGGACCCTCTTCTAGTTCACCAAGATGTAGGGGCTGACTCCAGCACAGCACCTGTCTCCACATGGTCCCTATGCTGGTGTCGGGACACTTGTCAGGAGCTGCTATCAGACTATTTTCCACTTGTCTCCCACTTTTCCTGAACAGCCATCAGTAGACAGTTTCTAGTGGCTTAAGAGGAAGTCAGCCCTTTTAGAATATAGCCTCAGGCTGAAAAACTGCTTTGTCCCCTCTTGGCAGTGACTCATCAGCAACAGAGCAAACTATCTTCTGTGTTGTGGTAATCTGGCCCCTTTTGTTTTGGTGTTGCCTGGGGGACAAAGGACATGACAAACTGGCCCATTTGCTCACTGTCCTTTTGCCATCTGTGTGCATATAAACTGGCTCCTTTTTTCTCTACTGGCGGAATCTGTCTCCCTTGCTTGACTTGTTCTGTCTTTCCTTGCCATCCTCCTAGTTCTTTTCCAAATATGCTGCAGAGAAGTTTTATTTATTTTTTAAAGATTTATTTATTTATGCATACAAGAGCTGGGGTGCAGGCCAGAGATGCAGTAGGCATGGGTGAGAGGATTCACCAGAGATAGAGCAGGGAACAGAACAGGCAGATGTACTAATACACCTTCCTGGTGGGGGATCAAACTCATGCTGCAGGGTCTGTGGATAGCTTCATGGTGCTGCGAGTTAACCCCTTATGCCATCAGGGAGGCCCCTAGAGAAGTTTTAAAAGACAAACAAGCCATGGAACAAACTAGATCAGACAGGATTTTCCCAGGTTATATTTTATTTATTTATTTTTTAAAAGATTTATTTATTTATGCATACAAGAACTGGGGTACAGGCCAGAGATATTGGGGGGTGAGAGGATTCACCAGAGAGAATGGGGAACCGAACTGGTAGACTGACTGAAATACACTGCTGAGGGGAGCAGCAGGCGAGCCAGGAAAGGTCTGCTGCACCATGTGGGTTTATCCCTGGCCAGGGATCAAACTTGTGCTGCAGTGGCTGCGGGAAGCTTCATAGGTTGCATCTTAACCCCTTGTGCCACCAGGGAAGCCCCCAGATTTTATATATATATGTATTTTTTTTAAAGGATTTTTATTTATTTATTTACACAAGAACCTGGGTACAGGCCAGATTCGCGGGGCGGGGTGGGGGGGTGAGAGGATTCACCAGAGACAGAGCAGGGAACAGAACAGGCAGACTGACTGAAATACACTGCTGAGGGGAGCAGCGGGCGAGACAGGAGAGGTCTGCCACGCCATGTGGGACCCTCGCCGGCCGGAATCGAACCTGCGCTGCAGAGGCTGCGAACAGCTTCACAGCGCTGTGCTCAACCGCCTGCACTACTAGGGGAGGTCCGCCCCCAGATTATATTTTAAAGGCACCTTCTTTGCTCTGGCAATTCCTGATTATTGGAATAGCAACACACTCACCATTTCTGCACAGTGCTTTCTTGGGAGCAAATTTGTCATCCACTCAATTGTTGGCATTGGGAAAATGTTCAGATTTGTTTTGGTACCATTAAGACTATTTGTTGGGGACCTCCCCAGTGGCGCAGCGGTTGAGTGCTGGGTTGTGATTCTGACTGTACCCAGTGCCTGTATAAATAAATAAAAATAAATCTTTAAAAAAAAAAAAGACTATTTGTTGGAATAACAGCCTTGGAGTCTAAGTTAATCAATTATTCAAAGACTAATTATTTGTTCTGTTTATTATCCAAGCTCCTTAGGTCTCTTGACTTTTCCACCTTGTTTTACGGACATTGCGTGTAGTATGAACACAAGTCCCACAGTATACACAGGGCAAATAGGGAGCATCAGTCTGTTATAAGAGTTATAATTGAAGATCAAGAAGATGTGGCATGTATATACAATGGAATATTATTCAGCAATCAAAAAAGATAAACTCATGCCATTTGCAGCAATGTGGATGGAGCTAGAAGGAATTATGCTCAGTGAAATTAGCCAGAAGGAAAAAGAAAAATATCGGATGGTTTCACTTATAGCAGGAATATAGGGGAACCCAATAAGACATCAGTGTAAAAAAATAATAACAGTACAAAACACAACAAAGCAAAAATGGACAATTATAAATCAGAGACATATGCGGGGGAGGCGGAGGGAGAGGGATCAGAGGGAGGGAGGGAGGAGCACAGGGGACTGAGGTGATGGTGCACGGGTGCCTTGGGGAAGGAAACTCTATGGGGACTACACCTGAGGGGGTGGGGGAAGCAATATTGTTTAAAAATGAACAATGGGGCCTCCCTGGTGGCGCAGGGGTTAAGATGCAACCTATGAAGCAATCCGCAGCCACTGCAGCATGAGTTTGATACCCGGCCCACCAGGGAGAAACCCACATGGCAGGACCGACCTCTCCTGTCTCGCCCGCTGCTCCCCTCAGCAGTGTATTTCAGTCAATCTGCCTGTTCTGTTCCCCACTCTGTCTCTGGTGAATTCTCTCACCCTCCCCTGCATCTCTGGCCTGTACCCCAATTCTTGTATAAAAATACATAAATCTTAAAAAAATAAATAAATAATAAAAATGAACAATGATGTAAAAAATTAAAAAAATTAATATAAAAAAGAATTATAATTGAAGAATCTAGTGGAGAGGGAGCTTCTTAAGTGAGCTTAGAGTCTTAGTTATTCTAGTGGCCCTAACACTGCCCTTGTTATTTCTTTAGTAGCCAGCACAGAGTATTCTTGAACATCCCATAGCCACACTAGAATATGAGAAACAGAAGGTAATTTAAACTAACTCCATAATGCAAGAACCATTCTTTTATTTTTAAGATTTATTTATGTATATAAAAGCTGGGGTGCAGGCCAGAGGTGTGGGGGGTGAGAGGATTCACCAGAGACAGCGTGGGGAGCAGAACAGGCAGACTGACTGAAATACACTGCTGAGGGGAGCAGCGGGCGTGATGGGAGAGGTCTGCTGCGCCATGTGGGTCATCTCCCTAGTCCTGGATGAACTCGTGCTGCAGTGGCTGCAGATAGCTTCACTGTGCTGACGCTTAACCCCTTGCACCACCAGGGAGGCCCCCAAGAACCATTCTTTATAGAGCTCTTCTGCCTTCCTCCCTTTTAGGTAGCCCATCCCATTATTGGACATCAAATAAGACAACCATACTCAGCTGAAATCTATAAATTGCAATCACTGCTGCATAGCCTGCATTTGGGGGCATGTCAATCAAGTACTTATTCTCCTCCCCACAATGAAGAGCTGGGTGCTGCCACTTGCTTATTTAGGGACCTTGTTTAGCAAATATCTTCACTTCCCATGTCTTATATTTCTTTATGAATGAAAGAAGTTGAATGATTGTATTTAAAGTATCTTGTAATTAAATAAGTCTAGGATCTTATGATTTTAGTAGTGAAGTCAGTTTTTTTCACTTATTAGTTCCTAGTTATTCTTAAAGTTGGAATTATAAACATGATTTTATAGCTGCTAGATTAAAGTGTACCTATAATGCTACCTAGCAAATAATTAATCCTTGATTCTTCTCCCTCTATTAGAGGATAAGGGCACATTTTCTCCTTGTCCCTCAAATCTCACCTTATACCTCATCTTCAAATTTTTTTTAAGATTTATTTATATGTGTAAGAACTGGAGTCCAGGCCATAGGTGTAGGGGGTGAGAGGATTCACCATAAACAAAGTGGGGAGCAGAACAGGCAGACTGACTGAAATACACTGCTGAGTTGAGCAGTGGGTGAGACAGGAGAGGTCTGCTGTACCATGTGGGTCAGCTCCTTGGCCAGGGGATTGAACTCATGCCACAGTGGCTGGCAATAGCTTGATAGTGCTGAGATTTTATTTTATTTTTTTTTTAAAGATTTATTTTTATTTATTTATACAAGCACTGGGTACAGTCAGAAGCGTGGGAGGGTGAGAGAATTCACCAGAGCCAGAGCGGGGAGCAGAGCAGGCAGAAGGACCGAAGTACATTGCTGAGGGGAGCAGCGGGCGGCAGGAGAAGTCTGTGCGCCATGTGGGATCCTCCTCCAGTGGCCGGGGAGCAGCCGGGGATCGAACCAGCGCTGCAGAGGCTGCGGGCAGCTTTGCAACCCAGCGCTCAACCGCTGCGCCACCGGGGAGGCCCAATAGTGCTGAGATTTTAACTCCTGCGCCACCAGGGAGGCCCCATCTTCAAATTTTATTTATTTATTTTTATTGAGATGATGGTTTACTACACTCTATGTTTTACAAATATAAGTTCACACCTTTTCCATGTATGATCCGCCCCCACGCCCACTAACAACCCTCCACCCTTCGCTCTCCCCCATCTGTCCCTCACTGGTAGGCTCAGTGAGGGGGCTTTGCAGTAGGATCCAAAGGTTTGTTTCAGTTTGGTTTTGC